GCAGTGGACAGAGGGAAGAGTACTGGAAGGCGCAGTGGACAGAGGGAGGAGTACTGGAAGGCGCAGTGAACAGAGGAGTACTGGAAGGCGCTGCTGCCCTTGCACTGGTGAGGTCACCATTGTCTCCTGCAGCTTACATTTATACATATGAATATATAACCCAAACCAAATCCAACCAACAACAAAACAAAAGACTTCCAGAAACTCCTAGCATATTATTTAATAATTCATTAGAGAATCAGAATACCATAAGAGCAATTCCCTCACGTGAACTCATGGCAGGGCAAACAGAGAGAGAGCTGGATAGTTTTGAGCTTCCTATGTAGGTACAGGAACCGCACCTGTGTCCTCTACAAGAGCAGCCAAGTGCTTCTAACAGCAGTCCATCTCTAAGCCCCAGTTGAGATGTTCAACATTTTACACAAGAGCCGAGTCTTGGCCAAATGGAGTGAGGCAGGAGAGGCGAAGGCTGGAAACTAGGTGTGACCAGATCCTCAGAGGGTGCTTACGAAGAGTTGGGAGCGCAGAGAATTATGTGGATAAATAGAGCAAAGGACAAGGGAACCTATGGGAAGCAATTGCCATGGTCCAGAGAGAGCTTGGGAGCCGAGGCTGGACATTATCTAGGGAAGGGGAGGGGGAAAGAAGGGAGGGGAGGTAATGGGAGATAGGGAGGAGAGGGGGAAGGCTGCAGGAAGCATACCTGAGGAAGATTGACTGCACAAAGAGCTGTGAGTCAAGACAGCTATCACCATTAAAGACAGATATCACCATTAAAATAAACACAGTTGGGGCTTCAGATACCTTTTCCATGTCATCCCAGTTGGTGATGATGCCGTGTTCAATGGGGTATTTGAGAGTTAGGATCCCACGTTTGCTCTGAGCCTCGTCCCCCACGTAGCTATCTTTCTGGCCCATTCCTACCATTACACCCTGTGATGTGAAAGAAAAAGAGAAGTGAATTATCCAAGGGGCCCACACATAGAGATTCAGTCACTGGAATGCCCCCAAAGGAGGAAAGAGATGAGGAAAGGAAGCAGGAGATGAAGGTGAGCAGAGACAGGAAGAGGAGAGGGGTTTCTCTCACAGAAGACTATGTGGTTTTCTAAGGGAGAGCAAGGCCCATAGAGATTTACCCTTATTTTATACTCTCTGCTGAGAGGGAGAGGGAGAGGGAGAGCACAGATCCTGTATGGCTCACTCCTCGTGGCTTACAGACTTGGGTCCAGAGAGCACACACCTGGTGGCGAGGCCGGCCCACGATGGAGGGAAAAACGGCCCTGGGAGCATCATCTCCTGCGAAGCCTGCCTTGCACAGCCCAGAGCCATTGTCACACACGAGGGCAGTGCTCTCTTCTTCACACATGGTGGATGCGGCTGAGTGAGCTGGGGGCTGGAGCACCTTTGCGTTGGAAAGAAGAGAACAGTTGTCAAGTCACGTAAGAGACAGTCTCTGGGCTCTGAGCAACTGGGTTCCTGTTCTCAGAAAGACATAATTTTGGCCTCCTTATCTTGGAAGTTGTATCTTCTACTTCTATTTAGCTGCCAAGTACTGAATTATGTTACCCTAAACACATATGTGGAATGTACATCACTATCCCCACACCTAAAATATGACTAGATTTAGAGATAGGTCTTTACAGAGGGTAACTGAGTTTAGAATGAGGTCATAAATCCAATATGGCAGCTCTCCAATATGGCTATTGTCATACGGTGGTATCTGTGTAAGAAAAGAAAATTAGAATACAGATATATGTAGAGTGTGGACTATGCGAAGGCATGGCCAGAGGCAGCCAGCTATAAGCCAGGGTAGGTCCTTAGGAGAAGCCAACCCTTATGGCCTCGTGACCCTCAAACTCCTAGTGTCCAGGATTGTTAAAAAACTATTTCTGTCCTTAAAGGTCCTCATCTGTGGCATTGTTTTATGACAATTAGCTAATTAACACATTTTCTTTTTATTTATTTACTTTTAGTTCTTGAGACAGGGTCTCACCATGTGTACCATAGAGGCCAGAAGAGGGTTCCATATGTGTTCTGTAGAAGCCAGAGAGTGTTTCTGATTCCCTAGAACTGGAGTTCAGTATGGTTGAGGGCATGTTGGAGCCAGGAACTGGACTCAGGTCCTCTGAAAAAGGAGCAAGTCCTCTTAGCCACTTGGCCACTTCTCTGATCTTGGGGTCTCAATGTGTAGCCTTGACGAACCTGAAACTCGTAATGTAGACCAAGACAGCCTCAAACTCCCAGAAATTGCCCTGCCTCTGCCTCCTGAGTGCTGGGACTAAAGGCGTGAGCCCAAATGTCTAGCTTATTACACTTGATTTTTAAAGAGGAATTACCCACAAAACTTTCATTCAATGAGGAGAATCATGAGAGTACTTACCAGTTATTAAACAAGTTGAGAAGTTTTACAATATACCTACAAAAGTATTTACAAAAAGAAAGGACAAACCAATAAGTAGGCAGCCCAAAAGAAAAAGAAAGACCTTGAGCAGTTGACAAAGAAGGAAGTCAAACACCCTCCCAACAGAAGACTCCCAGCCTTCCTGAAAAGTTAAATAAAATCACCTTCCACCTAATATATATATGTATATATGGCATGTTTGTGTATGTGTGTATGTATGCAGATATGTGCCCAAGTATGTGCATGTGTGTGTGGGGGCTAGGAGACATCAGGTGTCATTAGGTGGCGTTTTTCAGGTGCAGTCCCTTTTTTTTCTGAGATAGAGTCTCTCCTTGGCCTGGAGCTCTCCACACGGGCTAGGCTGCCTCACTGAGCACCAGGTTCCAGCTGTCTCTCCCTCCCAGGGCTGCGATTACACATGTAACCACTCTCCTGGATTTTTTTTTTTAACATGGGTTCTGGGGATTGTCCTCAAGCCTTGTGAGTAAACACTTCACCAACTGAGCCACCTCCTCTTCCTAGCTGAGCATTTCAAAGATTCAAAGTTCTAGAATAGTTGTGGCAAAGGTGTAGGGAAACTAGGGCTGTTTAGTGAGATACACAATTTGGATATACAATCTCTAAATTGTGGGACCATGAACTGCAGCTAGAACCATATGGGCTGATGTGGGAAGGTTTTTACACCATTCTCCTGAGTGATAAAAGCAGGTCACACAGGATGCGAATGGACACAAGACAGTGCCACGCATGTCATGACTTTGGGGGTGTACACAGCTGGCACAAAGTTCTGACAGTTCATCCAGCAGACATGCCTCTGTGGAGAGGGAGAGATGGCTCAGAGTGAGAGAGCACTTTCTGACAAGCAGGAGAACGTGAGTTCAGATCCTGGAACTAGTACAAGGCCAGACATGGTTATGCATGTGTCTGTAACTCTAGCGAGGTTGGGGATGGAGACAGAACCATGGGGCTTCTGGCCACCAGTCTAGATCTAGATTCAGAGAGGCCCTCTCTCAAGGAATGTGGTGGCTGATGAACGGTAAAGCATGGCATTTGATGACTCCTTCTGGCTTCTGTGAGCACACAGACACCACACACGCACACACGACAAATTTGCAAAAACTGCAGACTTACTGGCATCACGTGCGGACATGGGAGGGCACCTCGGGAGAGGAGCTAGGATATATTTCTAAGGTTTAACTTCTTATGAGCAGATTATAGTCACATGTGACTCGTATAGTAAAAAAAAAAAAAAAAACAACGAATAATTTCTCTTTAAAGAAGAAGGTAGAATAATTAGCAAACTGTAGAAGCATGAAAAGAAAGGGATGACTCGAGAGAAGAACTTGATGGTGGGGCTCACTCTCTGCTGCCTGAGCATACAGGAAAATAGAGTCCCACTCCCCAGGGCTGGGAGTGAAGAAACCGATTCAAAATTTCCAACATCTATTGTGGTCTTCTTCCACCCACACACCCTCCATCTTTCCCTCCTCTTTCTCTTTTTAAAAGATTTATTTATTTATTATTTACTTCAATTCCCTGCAAAAGAAAGACATGGAGTAAGGAAGAGAAGCTGTTTGAAGGAAGAGCTCTAAAGTACCATTGGGGTGTGTGACACAGCAAACCTCATTGCCAATGGGAGGAGAGAAATTCTACAGACAATAGACTGATCCCGAATAGCCTTATGCTGAAGTCGGACAGTGAAGACCATGAGCTAGGCAAAGAGATTAGGTTTTGGGATTTTGATCTGGAGATCCAGAAGGTTTGACAGGGTTAAAGCAAAGAGACTGGAAGGGTGGCTCACAGGTTAAGAACACTGGCTGCTCTTACAGAGGACCTGGGTTCGAGTCACAGCACCCACATGGTGGCTCATATAATCTATAACTCCAGCCCCGGGGAACTGATGCCCTCTTCTGGCATCCTGGGAATCAGGTGTGAAAGTGTTACACAGACAGACATGCAGGCAGAACACCATGCACATAAAATCAGACAGTTAGAGAATCCATTATTGAATGTGTGTGCAGTGAGGGGGGGGGATAGCGAGGGCACATGCTCCTCGGCATGACGTGGAGCTCAGAGGAAACTCCACAGAGCTGGTTCTCTCCTCCACTCTTAGGTGGGTTCTGAGGCTTGAACTCAGGCCATTAGACCCGGGAGGCTTGTGCTTTATCCACTGAGCCACTCTGTGAGCTTAGCTTCATTAAAACAATCAGAATTGAGAACCATAGTAATAATGAGAAGAGAACCATAGTAATAATGAGAATAATAATAGTAATAATGAATTATTATTCAATTAATAATTGAATAAGTAGCTGGCTCTGAACTGCTAGAAAATTCCACCCAATCAGCCAGTGGAGAGAGCAAAGTATCAAATGTAATGAGGAAGTCAGTGCTTTCACGTTTGACCTGTGTGTGTGTGTGTGTGTGTGTGTGTGTGTGTGTGTGTGTGTATGAATGGCTTATGTATTTTAAAGCATAATATACATAACATATATTTTATGGTTAATAATATATATTACAGTTGAGAGCACTTGCTGCTCTTACAAAGGACCTAGGTTAAGTTCCCAGCACCTGCAACCACCCATAACTCTAGTTCCCTGGGATCTAATGCCCTCTTCTGAGATGCTTGGGCACTGTGTGTGCATGGTACAGAGACATACATGCAGGGAAAAACACCTGTACATATAAAAAAAATAAATATTTAAAAAAATCGAGGTCCTTTACCTCAATTTTACAATGTATAGTATTATCTATTTAAACCTCAAAATAGCCTTGAGACAATATATTTTTAAATTCCATTCTATTGACTTGCAAATCAAGACTCAGAAAAGTTAGAGAACTCAGCCAGGGACCTCCTAGCCTGGGAGGGAGGGGAGTGAGCAGACAGGCCTGCCGTTGACCCAGGGCAGGTGCGGAGCCTGAGCCTGTGTGGTGGTGTCCTTGCCACGGCTGCGAACGCGGCATAACTTCTCCTTGTATGGCATTTTCCTTTTGCCTCCTTCTCGGGAGATTTTGGCGGCTAAGGCCTGCACACAAAGGGGCCTCTGTTTCTCCTTCCTCTGAGTTCTTTCTGCACCAGGACCAGATTTACCCTGACACTTAACTGGAGTCTGGAGCACCATAAATGTTGATGGAGGGGCCCTCCCAGTCCTGTCTGTTCCGTGCCTGGGATCCTCAAGCACTTGGCTTTCTCACTGCAAGCTAGTCAGCAGCTGCCCTGGCCTAACAAGCTCTTCCTGAGGGGAACTCGCCTCAAAAGCAGAAGGAGGCCATGAAGTAAGGCCACACTTCTGTGGCTGACTCCTCTAGGGTCCCCTCAGCACTGTCTGTGATTTTTTTTTTTTTTTTAACACCCAGCAGTCCTCTTGTCTTAGTTTCCCAAATGCTGGGATTATGGGTGTTTTGCCACAAGCCTAGTTTCTCTTTGGTGCCTCCCCCTACCCTTTTTTTCTTTTTTGGTTTTTCAAGATAGTGTTTCTCTGTATAACAGAGCCCTGGCTGTCTTGGACTGGCTTTGTAGAACAGGCTGGCCTTGACCTCCCAGTGTAGTCAAGAATTGAACTTCTGAGGCCCCTGCCAGCCAGTACTGGGTTCAAGGTGTGTAGTACCTACACTCAGTTTATGCAAGGCTTTGTGTGTACTTGGGTAAGTAAGCACTCTATCAACTAAGTTACATTCCCAGCTGACTCCCATGTGGCTTTTCAAAGACCTTTCATCTCCTCCCTGGCTTCATCCAACTCGGCCCCCAAAAGAATCGCAGGCTGTATGGCCAACAAGGCATCCACAGAGCAGCCTTAGCCTGTCAACACCCAGCCCTGCAGGATTTCAGGGGACTTAGAACCACTTGACTTTTTTTCAGATTTGTTTGTGTTTGTGTGCATGAGTGTTTCGCCTGCGCGTATGTATGTGGACCATATGTGTGCGGTGCCTGCGGGGGCAGAAGAGGGCATCAGAATCCCCTGGAACTGAGTTACAGAGGGTTGTGAGCCTCCGGGTGACTTCTGGGCACCGAACCTGGATCCTCTGCAAGAACAGCAAATGTGCAGCCATCTCTTCAACCCCAGAACTGTTTTTTCTGTGGCGGAGCCAGAGATGAGGTAGGGCGCAGAAGGCAGATGAGAGAGCTAGAGGCCAAGAAGGGATGTGGGCCGTCTCCTGCCATGTCAGGCAATTCTTGACCCTTCTAGTCATTTGTGGCTGATGCAGAGCATGCCAGCTGATCCAGAGCCACAGCAGCTGTGGTTTGCTGGGGTCACAACCGCTTTGCTGGGAAGCTGAACAAATTGTTGTGGCCATGTCAGCATGTACTCAACCAGACTTTATTGGGAGATTCTCACACAGTTGGAAAAGCCTTGAGCTCTCCTCTCCCCACGAGGCAGCCCAGAGCCAGACATTTTGGTGAACAGGAGGACAGAGCGGTGGAAACAGTTCACGGCCTGTGACAATCACGTAAGATTCAGCTGCAGCGTCTACAAGCATTGATTTTGTTCTTTAGACAGGCTGGCCCTGAGATCACCATGTAGCTGAGAACAGCCTTGAACTCCTGCTCCTCCTGCCCCACCTCTGAGTGCTGAAATCACAGGTGTGAAGTCCTAACTGGCCTCTGCAAGTTGTTTTTTGGGGACTCAGGCACACCTGTCCTGCCCACCCACCTGTGATTGATTTTGTTGTAACCACGGAGTTGAGGGTGGTTATGATGGACCTTCAGTCTCGGAAGCCTAACCGTGGCTCTCTGACCGTCTCCGGAAGGTTCTGCCTACCCCTCTCATCAGGGCTCACAAATATAAAACTTGTCTCTCAGTCTTCTCTCAACACTTACTCCTGGGATGGAGCTTATTTCACTGAAAGAACCTCACCCCCCATTTCACAAATCAGTGGCTACTGAAAAACAAATTTGTACCTCCTCAAGACATTTTCATTTTAGCAGAGGGCTTCTTCCCTGAGGAGGAGGGCTCTGGGCGGCAGGATTTCAAGTACCAGTTGGGTATTGAGTTTGAAGTGAGGACTTGAGGTGACATGTAAGCACAGGCCAATTCATCGAGTGATTCCTGTCCCTTGCCATAGTATTACCTATCCCATAGGCTGACCAAGCGCTAAAGCCCGGTTCCTAGGGTGGCATCTTTAGAAGGTGGGGCTTAGTAGGAGGTGGTTGGGTCACTGGGGCTGTTCCCTTGAAGGAAGCTGTGGAACGTGACTTTCTCCCCGGCACAGCCCCTTTTGAGTCTACCTCCACGTCACCACACGGTGGCAGCACTTCCTGCGTGTGCCCAGGCCGCTCACCCTCCGGAGCAGCCCCTCTACAGGATAAACCTCTTGCTGATATCCTTTAGGCGGAACCCCTTCCAGCGACCCCACTGCTCAGTCCTTTAATTTAGCATCTAACAACCAATGGACTGAGCTTACCCAGCCCTCTAAAGTTCCTGGGCCTGCTTATTGCCTTGAAATCTAAATGGAGTGGAGCTGAGTCCCTGTGTGTCCCAAATTCCATGGTTGCTTTTTGTTTGTTTGCTTTCCGCCGGTCCTTCTCTGGGACTCAGCTCAGGCACCCTTCCCCCAGGAAGCCGTCCCTGCTTACAGCTTAAACAAGGAACATCTCCTGGGTTTCCCCTTTTCACACACTTAACATTCTATTGTGATTCTACTTTTAATCTCATTTTGCTCTGATGCAGTATTTCACAAAGCCTAGGATAGCCTTAAACTTACTATATGGACAAAGATGACCTTGAACTGACCCTCACGACTCCGCCTCCCAAGAGCTAGGAACATAGGCTTGCATCATTGTTCTCTCCATGGCGATTCTTAAGCTTGAGAATCCAAGGACAGACCCTAGCCACATTGGGCCCGGGCTACACTATGCACATTACTCCTCACTCTCCTCACTAGGGAGACATTCTGGGTGCCCATGTTACGGATGAGCAAATGGAGGTCACTCGGTAACACTGGGTACCGGGCTGTTGGTCTCCAGGATCAGCATCCTGACACCAGCCTGCTCCACTAGGATGCACTTCACAAAAGTGGAGGTCCTTAGAGTGTGTGTGTTACAGAGACGGTGCTCTCGGCATGTTACTTCACACTGGTATGAGCTGTTCTGTCTGAGACACTGAGGCCCAGGTTGGCCTGGGGCTCACTATGTATCCTGGGCTGGCCTTGAGCTTTGGGCAATCCACCTGCCCTAGGCTCCCAAATAATCAGAATACAAGCATGAACCACCATGCTTTTGGAAAAGCTGGTTAACTGTCCTGGACCTCGGTGACTTCTTCAGAGGAGAACAAGTTAGCTGCCAAAAATTTAGCCCTAAAATGTCACGAAGCCACAGGCCATTTGTTCCTCCCTCACATCTGGCTTCTCTCATCCCACAATCACCTTGCAGCCTCTGATAACTGAAAATCCTCCATTCACCTCACCTAAGCTCTAATTGAAGGACACAGAGACCAACCAAGGCCAACTGAAGAAGGTCCCTTCCTATCCCTTATACAGGTAGCTCATGGATGCCAGGACCACCGTTGGCTTTGACACAGATACCCAAGAGGAAGCTGCTTTTCTGCAGTTTCCCCTAAAACAGCTTCCCTGATGTGCTGACCTATGTCAAGTAGAGCAGGACAGGTGTGGCCTGCAGGGGTCACCCCCCGGGGAAGGGGGTGGTCCCCATACTGCCCTGTCCCCAGGGTGCTCCCTGGTCAGAAATGCCTCTTTTCATCAGGCACCACTGCCACCAAGAGCCTTGACATGTGACCTGAGCCAGCGTCATAGAAACCAAGTGAATCTGGAGTTGCACAGGCCCACAGGAGGCCTGGCAGCTCCCAAAAGGAAGAGGCTGCAGAAGCAGGGCAGTACTCACCACGGGTGTGAGAAGTCCTTCTCTGAGGGACTGAGGGCTGTGGCGAGTTTGGCAGAATTACCAGAGCAATATAAAACCCCTGAGGCGGATCTTCTTTAAACAGAGTCCCTAAAAAGGCCAGCTGACGGTGTGGTAGCTAAATTACCATATAAGGTATCTTTTTTTTAATAAACCCCAGCCTTGGGGGGCGTGGATGGAGGGTGGGTAGAGTGAATTATCATTTGAGAAATGTATGCGAAAGGATTCAAATGGCAACAATCTTGGGGCCATAGATTTGTTCCTTTTAGGCTATACTTGCATAAACAAAAATTATACCAGGCCTTATAAGCTGTCCAGAATGAGGCCTCACAGGGCTCTGCTCTGGGAGAGCGAACCATACCAAGAATGGCAGTGGCCTCCTCTGTCCCGCCTCCTTCCTCAGGCCCTTTGCCTGTTGCCCCACAGCCTGCCTGAGACACCGATGCTGTACCCCAGAATGAGTGCCGTTGTGCTTTGTCTGCTGCAAGTCCAGGACAGCACAAGGCTGAGGGGGAAGTCCATCTGCATTTGGAAAAAAAAATCCCATGTGCCCCAACTGTCCTGCTCCCCTGGGGTCCCCAGTCACCTTCAGCTTCCACACGCTCCCAGTCTCCCTCCTGGAGCTGCTCTGCCAGTCCCCAGTGCAGGAGGAGTCCCCTGCCCCAAGACGGAGCACACCTAGCAACAGGCACAAGTTTCCAGAGTCCGGGCTTCTGGCTTTTCTTGTCTAATTCATTCTCTCCCTGGGCAGCTGTTCCATCTCCCACAACATCCACCACTAGCTTTGTGGCAGTTAGTCCCAACTTCATACTTCACAGCTGGTCCAGACCAAAGTGATCAATTGCAGGTTGGAGAGCTGCATCCAGGTGATTGCAGGATCTTCAAGATCAGCTGTGCAAAACCTGTCCCCACCCCCAAAGCTGCCACATCCCCTGGTTCCCTTCCTCAGAGCCCTTCCTCTCATTCTTTTCTTCAAGAAGACCAGTCAGTTTACAGCGTCTCTCTCTCTCTCTCCAGCCCCAGGCACCTGGGGACAGGTCCATGAATTCTAGACCAGCCTGCACATAACAATTTTAAGGTAAGAAGCTGTTATAAACATAGAGACATTTTATAAAAAGTGTCAGAGAAGTATATGGTAAGGATTGGAGAGAGGAAAGGGAAGGAGAAATGATATAATTATATTTCAATCGCACACACATACACACACACAAAGTAAGACAAGGCCTTGCTCTGTAGTCCCTCTGGCCTTCTGGGTCCTGGGATAAAGGTAGGTGTGTTGTCACATCCAACTTCACATTCACAAGTTTTTTTGTTTTGTTTTGTTTTCAAGACAGGGTTTCTCTGTGTCACCTTGGCTATCCTGGACTCGCTTTCTAGGCCAGGCTTGCCTCAAACTCACAGCAATCCTCCTGCCTCTGCGTCCCTGAGTGCTGGGATTACAGACATGTGCCACCATGCCTGGCTGTATTCAGAGGTTTTTAACAACCTTTTCAGCGATGGGTAGAGTGAAGAAGAAGAGAGAGAGAAAAGAAAGGACACAGGGGGTTTAAAAACCAGGATTAAATCACTTATGTCGCACAATGCCAGGTGCAAAATTGTCACTACGCATCCCCCATCCTGAGCACAGCTTCCTGCTCTCCACCAGGCTGTAGATGAAGATGAAGACAGGTTCTTGAGCTTTGAGAACAGTGTATGTGAGCAAGAGGACTCTCTCCTTTTTCTGTGGGAAGGGGAGTAAGGAGAATTCCAAAAGGGCAATTTTGGAGATCTAGAGCAGCCTTGTCTGGGTGTCTGCACAGGCCCAGGTGTACAGATGTGCCCTCTGCTCACCAGAGTGGGAAGAGAAGACAACATGGACGGCAGCCTGGCTACTAGCTTTGTCAAATGGGCGCAGGACAAGAGGGCTGGAGAGATGGCTCAGCAGTTAAGAGCACTGGCTGTTCTTCCAGAGGTCCTGAGTTCAATTCCCAGCAACGGCATGGTGGCTCCCAACCATCTGGACTGGGATCTGGTGCCTTCTTCTGGCATGCACTGTACATGCAGATAGAGCACTTAAATATTTAAAACAAATGGGCACAGGACAGGTTGGGCTAGGGCCTTGTCGCCAGCCTCCAATCCAGGGGACACCCACTACACCTAGGACCCCTTCAACACAAGGCTGGGGCCCCCTGAAGGGGCAGAGATGGACAGATGAAAGCTTTGGATATGACTGATTTCTCTGTCAAAGAACTATGTAGCAGCACTTGTAGGAATTCCCCAGGTAAGTGATGGCACAGAGCCACCATTTAGCCTTCAGTACTAAAGGGAAACACTGGCTATCAGAGGTCCATAGGGAAAAATCTGAAACACACCAATCAGGCTGGTGAAAAGATATGTTTGTTTCTTCCCATCATCCCGTGAGGTGGGAACTGCAGAAGAGCTAGAAACAGACTATACTCTGAGTTTCCAAGAGTTCGAAGCCTTGGGCTGGCCTGGGAGTAGCCTCAAGATCGCTCCATAACCCTGCTTCTTCCCTTATCATCACATGGCTTCCTCACTCCCACCCATGTTCTGGCAAGCCACTTGGGGCACCCTGGTCTTAGCCTAGAACTAAGAAAAAGTATAATCCCAGCACTCAGGAGGATCATAAAGTCAAGGACAGCCTGGGCTAAAAAAATAAAACAGTCAAAGAAAACAAAAAACACCTGCCACACCAGGAAGATGGCTTTAAGCGGAAGCAGGACCCTTCCTTTATTCTTTGATCAACATTGTGGCTTCCTTCGGAGGAGCGGGGAACCCATCGGGACAGGACAAACTCTTTAGGACCCTCAGCCCAACTAGTGAGACAAGGCCAGAATGTTCTCCAACACTGAGTTCCCAAGGTGGATTTTCAACAAGTTGCTGACACAGGTTCACTATTAGTCCTTATTGTTACTGGAGCTGCCATTTATTGAGTTGTGTTCACATGCTCTATATTGTTCAGCTGAACTCAGGCCGCAGGCTTGCTACGAAAAACCCCTTTACACTCTGAGCCATCTTTCTGGCCCCCGTGTAAGCCTACTTAATCTTAGTATTCCTGATTTTTTTTTTTTTTAAGTGTTGTAGACTTTGAGGCCAAGGGAGATGAAGTCTCTTATAGAAGTCACACAGTAATGAGGAAACAGGAATCCACCTCTTCCAGGTCAGTCTAGTATAAAATCCCGCTCATTATGTTGTTGTTGAAGATGACAGTGGTGGTGATTTTTTAAATATGGTCTCATGCGACCCAGGTTGGTCTCAAACTTAAGTGTGCAGTCAAGGACAGGCTTTAACTCCTCCCTCCTTCTGCTTCCACCTCTTTGGTGCTGGGCTTACAGGCATGTACCACCATGCCCCACATTTATTATATGTTCTCTTGTCTTTCTATTTTGTTTTTAGATTTTGCTTTGTGTGTGTGCCTATGCGAATTTCTGCGCACGACATGCAAGGCAGCAGAGTGTGAGCCTGCATGTACACACATGTATGGGTGGCCTGGGCCATGTGCAGCAGCCTGGAGTAAGGGATGGGGGGGCTTCAGAGGAAGAGAAAGAGCACCAGGGACATGATGCTCAAGGTATCTAGAGAGAGACAGAGACACACAGAGAGAGGGGGAGAGAGAGGGAGAGAAGAAAAGCTGTTCTGAGTTAGAGCTCAGGCAGAGAGAAGCAGACTGACGGTCCGCAGCAGCTGTCTTACTGAAGTGGTTTTTAAGCCAGTGGAAAACACTGCAAACTTTTGATTTTAGGAGATCTTCTGTAGCCTTTTGTTTCTCACAGCTTCTTCACTTGACTTTTTAAAGATTATTTTGCCTAGTGAAGAGTTCTTAATCCAAGTCTCTTGGATTAAGAGAAAAGTAGGGCTCAGGGCTGGAGAGATGGCTCAATAGTTAAAAACTTGCTTTTAGAGGGGACCAAAATTTGCTTCCCTGTATCCATGACAGGCAAATCACAACCCCTTGTAACTCTAGCTCCAGATGATCTGGTGCCCTTTTCTGGCCTCCCAAGGAGTCAGACTAATGGGAGTTGGTGTTTCGTAGGTGTATGGTAAATATTTGCTGAGTGAATGGAAAGTGGAATATAACTACAGTGAAAACATCTTTCTCTTTTAGGGCTCAGTCATTGTCCTGCTCAAATGAGAGGACATTGTCCTGTTTGTCAAATGAGAGGAAATTGGTCTCGTGCTCTCAGAGGAGTGTTGCTCCTTTATTTGCCATCTGCTTCTGGAGGCGAGGGCCTCTTTTCTTCATATTTCCAACAGTACTCTGCACATAGTAGGCACTCTTGAGCTATGGTCTGGATGTACGACTCATATTTTGGGGAGTGTGTCAGTACCCCCTTGTCCAGATGCTATTACCTAAGTCGCACAGCACTTGGTGTTTGATCTGCTTAATCCCTACTATTGGGACTAGTGCCCACAGCAGTGATAGTCAGCTTTAGATTCTCATCCTTGGCAGCACCCTTCGGCATCCACTTCCGCTTCTGGTGCCACCACGGTATTGTTTGGAAAAGAATGCCCTCTGATCTCAAAGCATGCAGCTTTCAAGCCAGGCCCGAGCAATCGGAACATTCCCTCTTCTGGCTGCAGTGATTGGACCAGGTGTGAGTTGTGGCCAAAGCTCCAACTCCACAACTCAATTTCAGAAGTTGTGCTTAAACTCAGTTCATTTTCAGCTAGATTTATCAGGACAATAGGCTATTAAACTATAGCTTTCTACATTACTTTATTGGAATAAATGACTTAAATGACCAAATTCTGAACCCAAGAAATGGCGGCCGTGGCGGACAGTTGATCCAGCTATGTCTCAATGCCCGCTGGATTTTTAGTCAGTTCAGTGAAAAGAATTTGGACTAACACGAAGTTCCTTTCTCTGTTTGTGGTCTCTTCCTGGGCCAACTAAACCCTCAAGCATCACAGTTATTAGAGATGGTGTGCTTTCAAAGCCATGTTGCCATTAGGAATGAAAATACTTGTGTGACCATATTCTGGGTTTACCATGAATCAATTAAAGATAATTCAAAGCTCTCAAGTCTCGGGAAAGGGATAGAGCACCAGGCTGGTTCAGAGACGTGCTGGACACAAAGGCTAGTGTGCCGAACAGGGACTTAAGGCTGTTCAAGGTGGCAGCATGGCTAATGCTTAGGTGGCATGGATGGCACACTGGAAAAAACTTTGCTTTGGTGCAACGTCATCAACACTTTAAAAAGGGTTTCACTGTGTGGTTCAGGCTGAGCCTCCTGCCTCAGCCTCCACAGTGCTGGGGTCACAAGCACGCGTCACCGTGCCCAGAACCAGTACCTTTTCTTAAAGGCAAATGAGGTGAAGGTAGGACTGCTGGGGGTGGCAAAGCTTTAGGCAGGGAACAGGCAGAGGAGTATCTAAGAACGGCTTTGCTTCCTTTTGTGTAGGACACGGCTCCACTTCTGTCACCCACCAGCAACCATTGCTCAATTTAAGCAACGGCCTGCGTTCTCTAAGCTCAGATGTCAGGAACAATGGTAGGCCATTGCAGCAGCTTTTCTCTGGAGGAGGGTGATGTTTTAAAAAGCAACCCGTCTCAGTGGGTTGACCAGCGATTTGCTGAGCCCAGAAGTGTGGTCTGGACTTCTTCAGGCAGAACATGAGCGAGTCACTGCTTAGGCAGGTCCCAGCTCAGCACCCACCAGGCTCTGTCCAAAGAGCTCTGCCAGCTCTCGAAGGCAAGGTTTATGTTGAATAAGTTCCAGCAGTGAGGTCAGCTTCGCGGAAGGTTTCCATATATGACATGCGTCTGCTGCTTTGCCTAAGGTCCCTCACTGAGCCTGTCCATGAAGCAGGTCTTGGCTGGGTTCCCACATTGAGGGGTACAGTGGAGTTTTGGTTTCTAAAAAACAGGAGGTATGGCTCTTTTTGATGTTATCATGCAGTATATGTTCTTTCTAGTTGGGAGAAATTTTTAAAGGATAGAGGGGGAAATAAAATCATCTCACAATCCTACTCTTTGATACAAATCCATCCTTTACAGAATGCACGTGTCCATGTATATTTTAGGAAGGCAGCATCATGGTATGGTTGAGAATATCAATTTGGGAGGCTGTGGAGATAGCTCCTCACTTAAGAGTACTTTCTGCTTCTGCAGAGGACCTGGGTTCTGTTCCCAGCGCCCTTCATGGCAGCTTACAGCTGCCTGTAACTCCAGTTCTAGAGAATCCAAAGCCTCCCCCACCCCGCCCTTTGGCTTGGTGGGCACCTGTATGGATAACACACACACACACACACACACACACACACACACACACACACACACACGTCAAAAGAAAAAAAAAGAATTCTACTATAGCTCAGGTCATGAAAACGAGGGAGGTGTCGCCTACAGTCTCACCCACCATCCTAGGCATTTCTCAAGAGGACAAAGCCAGCACGGTGGACTTGGCAGGGTAGGGAGCGAGGTAACTCTACCACCGGCTTGGATGTAACCCGGGACTCTGACATGCTCCGGTGCCTTGGCTGAAGAATGTTAGGTTCAAGGAGGAAGCAAGAAGATCCCACTCGGGGAAGACACCAAAACAAGAGATGACTTCCTGCCCTGGAAGAGGGCAGCAGGCAGGCCAACCAGGCTCTTACACGCAAAGTGGAACACAGTTCAGTGTGGCACACGCCATCCCATTCGCCAGCAACCAGAGCTTTCATTGGAAGTGCTTACGTGACGCCTGCTCAGACAGATCACGCTCAAGCACAAGTGAGCTGTTTTATTACAGAGCAACATCCTGGTAAATAACAGACTTTTAAACAAAATCAGTGTCAATTTGTGGGGGCTGTGAGCTCCTCCTGCTCCTCTGCCAGAGTGACAAGCCCCTTTAGTAGTGCCATAAACAAGAAAAAGCCAAATCTTTCAAAACGGCTTTCACAGTTTTGCATAGATGCCCTTATTTAGCCCAAAGGAAGGCATGAACAAGTTGGCAGATAAACTGCAAGAGGGACAGAAGGCCAGTGGTTGGATCGAGGCAGGCAGAGAGGTGTCTTCTCTTGCTCCCTAATTTTTGAGTTAGTTGCTTGGAGAGATTTGCTCATTTTAAGATTTATCATTTAAAAATGACTTATTTTCAAATAATAAGTTAAAAAATCCAACAGTCTCCCCTCAGGTTGACCTTTCCTATTGTGTCTTAAAAGCTTAACTCCACTGGGGGTGAGTACACGGAGCAGTCTGGGGGGAGGGGAGGGGAGGCTGTTGTAATTTACGTTAATTGGTTGATGTGTGGGTGTGCATGTGTATATGTGTGGGTGCACACATACCACAGCGCACAGCGGAGGTCGAGGTGACCTGGGGGAAGTCCGTGTCTGCTTCTAGCATGTGGCATCAGGAAGTGAACTTGGGCTGCCGGGCTTGGTGGCAAGTGCCTTCAGCCATCTTCCTGGATCATGATTGAAATTTATCGAAGGTCTGTGATGGTCACAATCCTGTCCTTGACAGTGACATGGCTGCAGTCCTGCAACAGGGAAAAAGGAAAAGCAAAGAAGTTGTGGAAAATCCTTTACAGCCCTTTAAAAAATGAGTCATTTCTATTTTATCTGAGTCTGTGTCGTACGACTGGCTTCAAATCCCCTAGGTAGCCAGGGTGGCCTCGGTCCTCCTGCTGCCACCTCCGAGCGTTGGTATCAGAGGGACACACTACTGTGCTCCGTTCACTAGTCCTGGGGATTGGAGCCAGAGTCTGGGGCCTGTGGAGAAAGCACCCTGCCAGCTGAGCTACCTCTCCAGCCCCAAACCTCTCATTTAAAATGCCTACTCAAGAGGTAGCCCAGAAAGACAAACACCAAATAGTCTCTTTGATTTGTGGATCTGAAATCTTTATATTTGAATATCAGAAGTCAGGGAAGCAGAAAGGGACCACAGCAGGGAGGGTGGCTAGGAGCTCTAGGGAGGGGAGCAGTTGGAGTCAGATGCTACAAAGGGGTTTAAGAGAATAATGGGGGCACAGGAAGAGAGGGAAGGAGAGATAACATGGTGCTAGAAAGCATAGGGAAACATTATTTTATAAGTTTACTTTAAACATACATAAAACATTCCAGCTATGGGAGCATACGTGCTTAATCCCAGCAAGAGGCAGGTGGGTTTCTGTGAGCTTAAGGCTTGTGGAAGAACACACGTCTCCCAGAACAGTAGGAGCTATTGTCACTGACCCTGGTCGCCTTCCGGAACCTGAAGGAAAGATCCCATGCTTTTGGACACAGGCCTTGGAGGATCTGAGCTGGAACTGACCTGCAAGTCTCCTTGCCGAGGACTGGCTCTCACACTATTGAAAGGTGTACGCAAGCTGCTAAGGAAGAGGAGCTATTGGATGTTCCCCCCCCCCCCGCAAAGCCTACAGACCACAACAATGACCAGACAAGAGCTCTACAGCGTGCAACAGGGGCGTTTTGTCTGGGGTGGGAGTGGGGTGGTGATTAACAGTTGCCTAGTTGGACTTACGGCCTTCTGCCGGGGAAGGAATTCGTACCTGGGACTCTAAACCTGGCCACGGCTGGAGAGGGCACAGACCTGAGAGACGAGCCTGCTACTGCCATTTCCCCAAACCTGTACAGTCTCTGACTGTGTTCTAAACACTTGCCCTTTTACCCACGGGTAAGCGTGGCTCTCACCCCACACCAACAAAGCTTCTTTTTGCAACAGATGGGGACTGTTACAGAGAGCTACAACTGATCAAATGCAGAAAACAAGTCACATATCTACAATGCAATCAGGAAACCTAAGGCTCAGAGAAATTCTCAGAAGATGGGACAAAAAGACTGTGCGAACCAGAGGCCCAGGGTGCCTGCTGTCAGGACAGACCCCTAGACTTGACAGGGAAAGCGCGTCCATGAAATAACAATACGGTTGCATGAACAAGACAAGCATGCTGACAACATCAGTTTGATATGCAAACATGGATGGGAGAAACCACCCCCCCCCCCCCCCCCCCCACCCAAAGGCTGCTTGAGGTCGCAGTCAGTTGGGAGAGTTTCCTCCGGGGATGAGCTCCTGTGTACATTGTCTAACCCCAGTGGTCAGCCGGGGACACATGTATATATGAGCAAAGCTAAATGGACTCAGCAGGCTGTATATACATGTGTGCATACGTGTGTTAACAGTTAAGGAGAACATGAATGGGGGAGGGACATCGGAGGGACTGGAGGGGAGGCAGGGGTGGGGTGATGGAGCTGCAGCACTCCTGTGAGGGTCTGAAGAAAATTAGTACATAAACGCTGGCTCAGGGTCAGTAATTCCTAGCCTGGAAGCCAGACCACGATGTCAGTGACAATTGCAGTCACTCCCATCAAGCTCTACTCATGCTCAGAGCAGCAGCTTCCTGTATACTTTCTAAAGTCAGTTGTTAAATATTTCTTAATTCACAAGAATTAGGTTTGCTCCAGTGTTGAGTCATTATATCATTCAGATAGCGAAGGCCACCTGCCACCACCTTGGTGGGGAGCGGGTTCTCACTTCAACATTAAAAAGCCTGTTTATTTATTGGACACAGGGTCTGGCTATAAAGCTCAGGCTGGCCTCAAACTGGAGATCCTCCTGGACAATGGTGTTCCAGGGCTATTTGATGGTGCTGTATTTATATCAATATCCTGACATCTAAACGTTATATCCCAAGATATATATACAGATATACATATGTGTATGTATATACACCTTTTGAGATAAGAGTCTGCCTATGTGGTCCTGGTCGTCCTAGAACACATAGTGTGGACCAGGCTGGCCTCTGCCTCCCGAAAACAAGAATTAAAGGCATATGTCAACCCTCCTGGCTCTGTTTGTTTATTTTAAGATTTATTTTCTTCCTCACATTCTGTTGAAAACTTTTACTGAATTTGATCCACAAGACTGAACATAAAGTTTAATTAAAAATTTGAAAAACAAGGAAGTTATATAAATCAATACTACATATACGTTAATGTATTATTCTATGAATGAAATACATTATCAAATGAAAATACATTATTCTATGAAGCTTATTTTTGTGCTTGGAAAAGTATAAAGTACAGCAACACAAACACATATGTGTACATACATACATAATAACCGTTCTGTCATACAAAACCGCCTTTCAGATCCCATAGTCCTAGCCTCCTGTGTCTCTCCACGCACAGGGCTCTGGTTCCTTTCTCTATGTTGCTTTTCTCTGAACCCAAAAGAGAAGTCCCAGCATATCACTGATCTGGGGCTGACTGACACAACTGACCTGATCAGCTAAACGTGTTATCAGGGACACAACCCCAGAGAAGACACTATTACCTAGGGAGGTGAGAATCGTATTTTCTAAGCAAAATCTGGGAATCAAATATGTTTAATTTACTTTCTTACATGGCTTTTCCTTTGCATTCAGACTACTGACTGGCAGTTAGTAACTGACACCGATGGAGAACAAAGTAACATTTAATAAGCAGATAATGCATTAGGTGCTTTGTTATTACTTTCTTTTCCAGTGGTGCTGGCGATTGAACCCAGGGCCTCAGGCATGCTGAGCACAGGTTCGCCTCTGGGCTACACCCACGCCTACCTATTTCCTCCCCTCAACGACCCTGCAAAGTAAGTTATTATTATCCCACATGTCAGATGACAGACCCAGGAAGGGCCAACAGCCTCACAGACACGAAGCCACTGGGCGACAGACTGAGAGCCCAACTACTTCCACAACTCCCTGCCTCCTGTGTCCATGCGTTTATGAACTCTGGGAAGGTGAGTGACAGGGCTGAAAGCAGGCGGGTCAGGCAGGACCATGCACTCATGAGCTTCGTGTGCTTGCAGGCTCCTACACAGATACTTACACAGAACAGAGGTGGGTCTCTGCCGTGGGGGTGAAAGCCTTTCTGCCGACAGGTTGAAATCTCTTGAAGGCCATAGTCGGTCAACTTAAAGAATCCAGTTCTGAAATAAGAAGGGGCACGCTGAGAGTCAAGCAAAGGCATTCCCTCCATCCTAACAGCCTGTCTTCGTGTCTCCCTCCCTGTGGGGCTTCAATAGGTATGACCCCTATAGACTAGTGTGTTTGAAGGCTTAGGTCATACGGAGTGGCACTACTCGGAGGTGAGGCCTTGTTGGAGTACGTGTGGCACTGTGGAGGCAAGCTTTGATGTCTCATATACTCAAGCTATGCCAAATATGGCCCACAGTCTCCTGCTGCTGCCTGTGTATCCAGATGCAGAACTCTCAGCTCCTCCTCTACCATGTCTGCCTGCAGGCTGCCACACTGAAACTGTAACCTGCCCCAGTTAAATGCTGCCCTTTATGAGAATTGCCATGGTCATGGTGTCTCTACACAGCAATAGAAAGCCTACCTAAGATACCCCCTTTCTCTTATACATACACATTTCAGGTGAATACATCGACTCAGTAGGGCATTTTGAGACAGCTTTCACAGTATACTGGCTAACAGATCTTCTCTTGGGGGTGGGTCATGGCTAAAGAATAATTTATCTGGTAACTATAAATAGGAATCAAACAGGAATTCTTTCTTTCTTTTTTAAGACTTAATTTACTCTGTATGAGTGCTTTGCCTAGATACCTAGCACACAGTGAGGTCCGAAGAGGGCATCGGAAGTCTTGGAACTGGAGTGACAGGAGATTGCAAGCTACCATGTGGGTGATGAAAATTGGACCCAGGCCCTCTGGAAAAACAAGTGCTCTAAACCACTGAGCCATCTCTCCAGTCTCCAAAGAGGAATACTTTAGTTGAAAATTAAAACTAGCTGGACACAGCAGCACATGCCTGTAATCCCAGTGCTCAGGGAGGCAGAGCCAGGAGGATCCTTGTAAGTTCAAGACCAGCCTGCTCTACAAAGTGAGTCTAGGACATCCAAGGTTACACAGAGAAACCCTGTCTTGAAAAACAAACAAAAACCAAAAGTGAAAAATTCCTTTGAGCAAAGCATCAACAGATTTAAGTAGGAATAACAAAAAAAAGGAGCAATGAACAATTAAGTCAGCTAAGAGTCTTCAGTCTGAGGAAGAGATAGGGAAATGGCAAGAACAGTCTCAAAGCCCCGTGGGCTAACATTAAGGGCACAAAAGTGAAGCTTGAAAAATGAAAAATAAAAAGGCTAGTTCATCACTATCTGCACATCAGCTCTGCCAGGAAATTCAGAGTAAACAGAACTTTTAGAGCAAAAAGAAATAACACTTGGAGATAGTGTATAGTGGAGGACTTCTTTAACCTTTACCTAAGGCTCTTGAGATCTTATGACTTTAAATCAAACAGTTCAAATTTCTTAGAAAACCAACATTATTAATATATCATTTAATGAGTAGATTGTGTTTACCAGAACATGAAGTGTAAAGGACACCTTTTAGAGCAGCCAATTAAGAGAGTTTACAAATTTTATTTTTTAAAAGGTCTTGGGGCTGGGGGATGGCTCAGTTGGTAAAATGCTTGACCTACAAACATGAGAACCCGAGACTGTATCCCCAGCATCTACAGAAAGAGCCTGATGGCATGCATCTAAATTCCTCAAGCTAGGGAGGCAGAGAGTGGTGGTTTGCAGCCAAACCATTCACCTCCAGGTTCAGCGAGAGACCCTGTGTCAAAAACAGTCAGGGAGGAAAGCTACAGAGGTAGGCACACACAGACACACACACACAGCATTCCACACCACACACACAGACACACACACACACACCACACACCACAGCTTTCCACACCACACACAGACACAGACAGACACACCACACACACACACACACACAGCATTCCACACCACACACACACACACACACACACACACACACACACACACACACAGACACCACACACAGCATTCCACACCACACACAGACACAGACAGACACACACCACACACACACACACACGCACCACAGCACACCACAGCACACCACACAGACAGACAGACACACACAGCACATGGTTGTTTCAACAGCAGAGAGGTTTTGCTCTTGAAGGCCCAGAGGCACACCCTAGGTACTCACTCCTGGAACCTGGGGGAGCAGACAATGGCTATGGACTCGGGGAGCATCATTTGGTAGGAGCAGTGGGTGTGCAGATCCACACTGGACAGAAAGGCCGTTTGGGTTGGGTGAGTCTGAAAGATGAAACAGATGAGGGAATTCCCAGTGACCCAGCTGCCATGCTGGTCCACTAAAGAAGGCAGGTCCAAGGAGCTTCCAACAGCTGGCCCCAAACCCTTCCCCAAGCACAGAGCTATTTGCAGCCATGAGAAAGACTTGACCCTCACAGTGAGTTCCTTCCCAGCACTGTAAACAAGTCTAACAGCAGTGTGAGCACTTCTCAAGGCCCTTCAAAGATCAAGAGATTTGTAAAACACTGTGCAGAGTGCCAGATCAGGTACTACATACTTGAAAATGGCTGGGGCAGATTGGAAACAGGATCTAACTGTAGCCCAGGCCATCCTGGAACTCACTATGTAACTCTGCCCAGCCTCCCAAGTCCTGTGATGCAGATGTGAGCCGCCAGGCCCAGTATAATCAGATTTTTAGGTGTTCTTTTCACACAAAGACCATAGCCAACCCAGCATTCAGTGTATACATGTCTCAAAACATGCCATACATCATATATAGGTTTGTATTATTTTTGTCAATTTTATGCCTTGAAATCATGGCATAGAATCAGTTTTGAGCTTTTAAAATTTTTTTTTTTTTTTTTATAAATTACAGTTTATTCACTTTGTATCCCAGCTGTAGCCCCCTCCCTCATCCCCTCCCAATACCACCCTACCTCCCTCATCAAGTCCACTGATAGGGGAGGTCCTCTTCCTCTTCCCTCTGATCCTAGCCTATCAGGTCTCATCAGGACTGACTGCATTATCTTTCTCTGTGGCCTGGTAAGGCTGCTCCCCCCTCATGGGGAGGTGATCAATGAGCCAGCCACTGAGTTCATGTCAGAGGCAGTCCCTGTTCCTATTACAATGGACACCCACTTGGATATTGAGCTGCTATGGGCTACATCTGTGCACGGGTTCTAGGTTATCTCCATGAATGGTCCTTGGTTGGAGTATCAGTCTCAGAAAAGACCCCTGGGCCCAGGTTTTTTGGTTCTGTTGCTCTCCTTGTGGAGCTCCTATCCCCTTCAGATCTTTCTATCTCCCCCTTATTTCATAAGATTCCCTGTACTCCGCCCAAAGTTTGGCTATAAGTCTGAGCATCTGCTTTGATACCCTGCTGGGTAGTCTTTTAGAGGCCCTCTGTGGTAGGCTCCTGTCCTGTTGCCTGTTTTCTCCCTCTTCCGACGTCTGTCCCATTTGCCTTTCTGAATGAGGATTGATCATCTTACCCAGGGTCCTCCTTCTTGCTTAGCTTCTTTAGGTGTACAGATTTTTATATGTCTAATATCCACTTATAAATGAGTATATACCATGTGTGTCTTTCTCCTTCTGTGATACCTCACTCAGGATGATCTTTTCTAGATCCCACCATTTGCCTGCAAATTTCATGATTTCCTTGTTTTCAACTGCTGAGTAGTATTCCATTGTGTAAATGTACCACAATTTATATATCCATCCTTCAGTTGAGGGACATCTGGGCTGTTTCCAGCTTCTGGCTATTACAAATAAAGCTGTTACGAACATGGTTGAGCAAATGTCCTTGTTGTATAATTTAGCATATTTTGGACATATGCCTAGGAGTGGTATAGCTGGATCTTGATGAAGCACTATTCCTAATTGTCTGAGAAAGCGAAAGATGGATTTCCAAAGTGGTTGTACGAGTTTACATTCTGACCAGCAATGGAGGAGGGTTCCCCTTTCTCCACATCCTCTCCAGCATGTGTTGTCACTTGAGATTTTTATCTTAGCCATTCTGATGGGTGTAAAGTGAAATCTCAGGGTTGTTTTGATTTGCATTTCCCTGATGACTAAGGAAGTTGAGCATTTTTTTAAGTGTTTTGCTGACATTCGATATTTCTCTATTGAGAATTCTCTGTTTAGCCTTGTACCCCATTTTTTAAAATAAATTACTTGGTTTGTTGCTATTTAACTTCTTGAGTTCTCTATATATTCTGGATATCAGCCCTCTGTCAGATATTGGGTTGGTGAAGATCTTTTCCCAGTCTGTAGGCTGTCATTTTGTTCTGATAGAATAAGCTTTTAAAAACTCTGAGAAATAACAGCAAGAAGGAAACCATGGAGATGTCTGAGGCTGAGGTCAGGTAAGAAGCAGATGGAGCTGAGGGAGAGAAAGAGCTGACCTTTGTATTTTCCTCTTGAAATGTAAAGATCTGAGATGACCTAGAGCCTACTTTTTTCATTAAAAATTAGATTGATACGTGTGTGAGTGTGTATGCATGTCTGCCTGTCCATGTCTTATACGCATGTCCAGCTCGGCCGGCAACTTGTGAGAGTCAGTTTTCTCTTTCCACCAGGTGGGCCCCGGAAACAACTCAGCTGAGGCGCCTGGCAGCAATGCTTTTACATGCTGAGCCATCTGGCCAGCCCTGTTCTGTTGTTTAAAATCTCAGATTATGAAGAAATGGTACAGCAATGTCATAGAGATAAAAGTAAGCCAAACTTTTATGTATGAGTTCCTAGCTGGGCCCTCACTTGGAAAGACTCGTTTCTTCATCCCTGCTTAGTTCTACCTGATGTCTCTAAACAGTAACATGTTTGGAACCTAAAGAGTGGAACTATATTGGAGCCTGTCCTCTCCTTTAGTTTCAATTTTCTTTTAAAAAAGTTCTATTTAAACAAAAATCGTTTTACTTATGTTTACGCGCACTCATGTTTGTGTGAACACATGCCGCTGTGTGTGCCGGGTCCTGGAGAGGCCAGAAGTGGGTGTCAGATCCTTTCAGAGTTTTAGGAGGCTGTGAGCTGCCCAGAGGGATCAGCCAGAGCTCTTAGCCACTGAGTTGTCTCTCCAGCTCCTCCTCCAGCTTCTAGCCCTCTTTGCCGCCCCCCACTCCCTGCACAGCCTCAGACCCTCACTCCAACCACACTGAGGTGAAGGCTGCCAGACAAGAGTGTCCACGACCCCACCAAACATCATTTCAGCCACTCCTGTGTCTTCAGCTCTCTGACTTCAGTCCTGACTCCAGGGCTGTGTGCTTTCTCCCTATGCAAATAGGAGGCTCCTAGTGCCCTTCTGTGGTGACCTCCTAAGTCACATTACCTTGCCCTGACTGCTCCCCCGCTCACTGCTCTCCAGGTGTAAAAACACACCAGACACCTGCATGTAAAAATTAGGCATCTTCCAATTGCATTTTAAGGTTAGCAGAGCAAAACAACAACTAGGGAGTCCCGCGTAGGAGGCGAACTCTAAAGGGAGGAAGGATGGAGGGAGCAAGAGGGGGCTTACTCTTGGAACTAGAAAGTAGGAGGGTGGGCGGGCCCCTGCTTCCTCAGTTAGGGAGGGTGTGCATGTCGATGTTGGCTTAGTGATTCAGGGAGCCGCACAGTGAGTCCACGGCCACTCACACAGCTTTTGGATAATGCAAACATGGTCAAGCCATTCCACCTCAGCAGGTGATCAGCCTGACAACCTAGCTCTGCCAAGAGCCACTTCATGTGTCTCCCCTCCCCCAGAGCTAGCTTCAAGACAGCAGCCTCTACCATCCCTGCAATCATGCCTTCATGCCTTCCTCTGTCTTGTTTTCTGGAGAGGGTTTTGCTCTGTATCCCAGGCTGGCCACAACTCATAACCCTCCTGTCTCACCCTGCTGAGTGCGGATTACAGGTGGGTGCCACCGCACCCAGCTTCCCGAGACTCTGAGACTCTAGGCTCCACCCCTCCACTGCAGCAGGGGGTTTCGCTGGGTTAGTATCAGTGAGCGCAGAACGGACGGATGCTAGCAGATCATGTGAGTTTTCTTCATGCTGGAGCGCCACACAGGCGAGCATCCCAGATTTCCTCATTCAGGGTCCCTGCTCTGTGGTGTCTGTATTTACACATTCCTCGGTCTACCCCATCCTGGCTTCCTTTCACCAGCCACTGCCTTTTCTGCTCCCTCAGTAGCTCATCTCCCTAGCTGCCAGCGAATAACTTTTCTTGCTTGCCAACCCTCCCCATGTTTGAGGCTGCCAAAGCCAGCTTGGTACAGAAGCCTCCCAGGTCACGCTTCTGCTTTGACCTTGCATCTTTTTCAGATGAAAACTATAAATTCCAGCCAAAGGACCACTCACTGCTGTAAGAGCACAGCATGTCTGTCCAGTGCTGACCCCTCTCCACGGAACTCTCCTTTGGCCCCTCCTTACAAATCACTGTAAGTCACCTCAGCTGTGGCCCCTCTTCCTCTGAAACCCACAGTGCCCTGTGGTCATCTGCTCAGGCACAATGTACTCTGCCTCATGTGAACAGGTGCTGAGGCATGACAGGACAAGCTTTCTACCCACCATCTTATCTCCTTGAGTGAAAAGCCAGTACAGATAAAGGTGGAAGAGCCAGAGAACACCCCCTGCATCAGCCCTTCCCTGTTTCTGAGACCAAGTGTGTAAGACCTCCCACACGAGAAATAAGCCACCCGATTGGAGCTCACACTTGTCACATGCCAAGAAAAGCAGCTTGCTCTGTGAATTCAAGGCCTTAAGAATGAGGGAAGCATTCAGAAGCGCTCTCTAGGGAAGGAACTGCATTTCTGGACGTCATCAGAAGCATGCACAGCACATGCGAACACTTGAAAACCGCATGCAAAGCCAAGTGCTGCTCCAGAAAGACAAAACGCAACCATCAGAATGAACTCCTGTGCCTTATTTAAAATACTTTCATTATGCAGCTTTTAGGTGCATAATCTCTATAGCATGTGTGCAAACATCCTAGGCAAGCTTCCTTTCACCACCTGGACTCAAGAAATAGCAGAACAGTCAAGAATTATTTTTAGTAACAAGATAATGTTTAGAAACCACGGGAAGCTCTCAGCAATACTCTGAGTCAAAACTGGAGCACCAGAAGTCGTGTGTGCAGAGACCATAGTTTGGCCAGGTTTTCCTCCGCTCAGAGAGCGGTACGGCGGTGTGCACCAAACAGAAGAGCCCAGCCCTCAGGGAGGCAGATTTGCTTACATGGATCCAGCCAAGGGTGAGGAGTCCAAGATCATCCTGCATAAAGAAAATTTCTTCTTCATTCTCTGTGTGACAATAATCAGGCCCACCATTTTGTCTGGGGATGAGAACATGCGTGATTGTGAATTCATTTCTCATCTGCAAAGGAGAAAACGACAGCAGTTGATAATTCCCTGGAGCTCTCTACCCCCTCTCACAGCAGAGGGAGGTGAAGCTGCTCCACCCTGAGCAGGGCTCCTCCTCCCCTGCTCCCTCCTCCCAGTGCTTCACGCCATAGAGCGTTCATGTGCTTTGCCTGGGTACTTGATAAGGCCACAGATGCTGAGACAAACCCCAGATCTGCCTCTTAGCACAGGCTAGGCCAATGGCATAGTCCTGGGGTCTTCCCGCAGCAGCCAGCGGGTCTGCTCAGGGATCTTGAGGTGTTCTGGAAACAGCCCCCTCCCTCTGCTGCCTGAAGCAGCTTCCCTGCTCCTGCCTCCTCATCTAAGGCCTGGGTGAGGTTTGTTTCACAACACTCACTGGTTTGTTTGGGAATGAGGAATGGGACCAAGCTCTCCCCTCAGTGGCCTCGCCTTCCTCACAGTTCCTACATCTCCTAGTGGACACACTGCTCAGAACTCTTCATCCCAGGGTGTCTTCCATCTCTGCAAAGGACTGCACGCTTTGTGGACACACACGAAGACCTTGGATGATTTGTATCCCCAGGCCTTCCTCTAAAGTGGAGCTCAGAACAGGACACAAAGGGAACTGGGTCCTCCTTCGCCTAGAATTAGCCCTTTCTCCCTTCCTCTCTTCCTTCTTTTCTCTTCCTCTTCCTTCTTTTTCTTTCTGTAGCTAATACTGGTCAGAACTCACTATTTACCATAGCTGACCTCAAACTTGGGGTAGGATTACAGGCATGATTAGGATTATACTCCTAACTAAGTATTATAGTGTGTGTGTGTGTGTGTGTGCACATGTGTGTAGCCCAGAGGAAAACCTTGTGTGTTGTTATTCACATTCAATTAATTTGCTTTCAAGGTGTGCGCTCTTATTGGCCTTGGACTTGTCATGTAGGCTGTGTGTCTGGCCTGTCAGCTTCAGGAGTCTGCATCTCTAGCTCTGCAGGGAGGAAGCCATGCACTCTCGGTAGGGGGACTGGTACAGAGTCGGACCTCAGACACTCAGCCCGAGAGCCACAGGAATCCACAGAGGAAGCAGTCCCTCTTCAGGAAAGGCACACTCCCTTACCAATTTTCCACAGAGGACTCCACAAGTTTCAATGCCTTTGGCAGTATTGGTACTGGCAAGCTGGAGAAATTCTGGGCACAGATTGCGGGGCACCACGATGTGGCGCAGGCCTTCAATGGTGGGAACTGAAATGGACAAGAGGGAAAAGTCTGAGGCCACAGGGCCAGGGGTCCCTGAGCAGAACTCAGAGCTGGTAGCCTGACTCCAGCTATGACTGTAGCTGGTAAACTGGGCCCAGCAAAGCCATATGACAGGATTCTGGACTTGGTTGGGACCAGTCACCTGTCTCCTGCTTATTTCTCCCTTCTGAATAGTGCTAGCTTATTCCTGTCTCTCTGCTGTGTTTTGTAAATGTAGATTACTGACTGAGCAACTGCACAGCTGGAGAAGGCTGACTACCTCATCGAGAGCTAATTTAGGTGGAACTTTGAATTCTTGTGTTATGATCCTGATCCTTCAGGAGGAGGGTGTTTTTTGGAAAGATTTATTTACTTATTATTTATATATGTATACAGTGCTCTGCCTGCATGTGCACCTGTGCGACAGAAGAGGGCACCAGATCTCATTACAGATGGTTGTGAGCCACCATGTGGTTTCTGGGAATTGAACTCAGGACCTTTGGAAGAGTAGCCAGTGCTCTTAACCTCTAAGCCATCTCTCCAGCTCCAAGAAAAGGAGGTATTAACCATTCAAGGTAAGATAAGGATCATCTACTATTTTTTAAAAGTGAGGTATGACCACTGTGATCCCCATTCTCAGAATCTTGTGGCAGGGGAATCACAAGTTCAGGCTATACATCGAGAGTCAGAAAAAAAAAGACAGACAGACAGACAGACATTGAGGAGATGATGGCTTCATGGGTACAGAGACTGCTACATAAGCATCAGGACCGGAGCTCAGATCCCCAGGAGCCACATAGAACACAGGTACAGTAGGGCCTGTCTACAAGCCCTGTTGGGAAGAGGAGAGCTGGGAACAGAAGGCTCACCAGAAGCTCGTGGCAGACAACAAAGAGGCCCTTTTCCAAACAAGGTGGAAGCCGAGGACTGACACTCAAGCTTGTCCTCTGATCACCCGGTGTGCTTGAGGGACACCCACTAGAAAGAAGTCAAGCTCCCCACTAAGAAAACAGTTTTGTCCCCTAGGAAGAACAGTTGATGGGTTTAAGGCTTGGCTCACACTTCCAGCCAGTGCAGGGATCACTCAGTCCACTCTCGGAAAGCATGTCTCATCCCACAGGAAACACAAAAGGAGAACAACTCAAGGCCTGGAGTGCAGGAAGTTAGAATACAGTAACTGACAAATGAGGGCACCATCAGAAATCAATCTGACTGACTGAATGCAGAGGAGAAGCTTCAAGGAAAGCAGGGGAGCAGGAAGCCAAATCTAGACAGAAGATAACAGACCTGTGGCTAAGATGTTAGCAAGTGTTCCTCGGGCTGGGCGAGGTGATCTCAGCACTCAGGGAGGCAGAGGCAGGTGGATCGCTGTGAGTTTGAGGCCAGCCTCATCTACAAATGAGTCTAGGATAACCAAGGCTACACAGAGAAACCCTTTCTCAAAAAATAAAACAAACAAACAAACAAAAAAAAAGAGCGTAGGCTGTGCAGGGAGAGAAGGCTGTAGAGGGAATGAGGGAGGAGGTCTGGAGGCCAATCTTCCCTTTTACAGGCATTTGAAGATGGGACACTTGGGCTTACCAATGAACCAAGTAACTACGTGCGAGGCACAGCACTCACACTGACCAAGCCCTTTACAGATGAGGGACACCTCCAGGTCAGGATGACTCGCTGGCCTTTTTAAAAAGCCAGCCCTGCTGTGCACGTGGCCCTAAACATTTTAAAACTGCTTCTGGGAAGAGCCACCTGTGATCACCACTTCAAGAACCCTTCACCTTTCTGTAGAACCCTTAAAAGTCGAGGGTCGACTTCCAGGAAGTCTTTAGAAAACTAATACTCAAGTTCAAGGCCATTTTCAACAAGACAGTCAGGGTGGCAAGACAGAAAAAGACAGTGCTATCACATGAGGGTCTGTTGACAGAGCCAAGTACGCGGGACCATGGAGGCCAGAGAGACGGAAGAAGGCATCAGTAACTAAGGGACTCACCATTTTCTATGATGCTCAGTGCTCCAGGTTTCAGGGACCTGTCCACCACAGGTGGCTTAGCTGGTCTCACGGTTGTGCTACAGTCTGAAGTTTGAGTGGGTGAGAAAGGTGAAATGGGGACCATGTCTACACAAGGCTTTTCCAGATCAGGTAGCAGAGGCCCGCATGGGCCAGGGTCTACCTTTCCGAACTCTTGAACAATTTTTAGCCGCTCTTTTTCCAGTTCCTGCTTCTGGATCATCTCCTCAAAGGCATGAAATTGTTCCTGCTCTAGCTGCTTCTGCTTCTGCTGGGCAACCCTCTGTCTTTCTTTTTCCAACTCTTGCTGGATGGCGGTATTTCGGGCAAGTTCCTCTTCTTCCTTTTTCTACAGAGAAAGAAAAGGTTAATACATAACTCTCAGAAGAAGAGCTTTCCCACACAGAGATGTCCAAAGCACAGTTTTACTCTGGCCTCATTTCCTGATCCAGAATTCATGCTTCACTAGACCTGTCTAAAGCCATGGGGGACCGTCACAATCCCATTCTATCAGGCCACCATGAAGCTATTTTCAAGGACAGCTCAAGTTCCTATCTTCAGGGTACCTTGGTGTGAAAGCCAGTGTCCATTGCCAACCTGACAGACTCTAGAATCACCTTGGGAACAGGGCTATGGGTATGTCTGTAGGGGCTCATCTTCATCATATGACCTCATATAGGAAGACCCAACTTGAATGTAGCAGATGGGACCATTCCCTGTGCGGGGGTGGATCCTGGAGTGTATAAAAAGGGGAAAGGGAGCTGAGCACCAGTGTGCAAGCATTCATGCTGTCTCTTTCATTTTCTAATTTAAAAATATCACATTTACTTATATGTTTGCTAGAGGGAGGACATGCGCCCAGGCTCACGTGTGGGTAAGGGGCAGCCTGTGGAAGGCAGGTCTCTGCTTCTACATGTAGGGCTAGGGACTGACCTCAGGCCATCCGCCTTGGAGGCATCTACTAGCTGAGCCACCTCACCAGCCCCTCCCTGGTTCTTATCTGTGGATGCAATTCGGCGAGCTGCGTTAAGCTCTAGCTGCCTTGACCTTCCCACTGCTATGAGCTGCATCTTGAACTGTGAGTTAAAATACAAACTTTCTCCCTTCAGTTTGTTTTTTTGGGGGTACTTTAGCATGGTGATACGGAAGTAACTAAAGCACTTGGTACTTTACCACACTTTATTTTTTACTTTAAATCATGATACACCTTAAGTTCTGTCCCACATAACCTGAACCTATATCTGATATATCTGTATCTCAGCTAAATCTATATAAAATGATTGGTATCCCAAGCAAGGCTATAAAACAAAACTCAAACTTAGACCTTCCATGTTGGGGGACTCCAAAACTTTTCTATTGGTTACTGAAATACAGTGACATTTAAACTAAAAAATATCGATTAACAAACCCCTTCCACTTAATGTCTTAAGAATCTATGGCTCCGAGCTATTAATCCCTCCTGATTGTCAGCAGGAGACAGCTACACATTAGGGTGTAGATACCCCTGCAATTGTGTGTTCCTGCCCAAAAGGGAACACTGCAGGGCCGTGGGTATTTCTGCACAAGCTGAAACTAACTATTCTAAACAAGACCCACTGCATACCACTGGGAAGATCAGCGACTACACAAAGCTTTGGGGATAAGCCCATGACCTAAACTTTCCACACCCAAGATCTGAAACACTTTATGCTCAGTTGGTAATGTTCACTGTGGTCAGGTCTCTTGCTGTAGGTATGGCAGAGAGGTCACAGGGGTCTGTCCTCTTGGACACAGAGGCCAAATCTGTTAGATTCTCTCACATCACCACTGGTTGGTGACTGGCCTTTGAGCCCCCAAAACAAACTAGACCATTACTAACCGCAGACTCTATTTGCTGCGGCACTTCGCAGACCTGGGGCTGTCTAAGAGCACATACACTGTCCTTGTCTCTACTCTGCTCACACCAACCTTTTGTTCTTTATACTGCTCATATTCTTTTGTGTATCTTTTCAAGAGTTCAGCCTTCAGTTCTTCTGCTTTAGGGAAAGCAATGTTCTTTAATTTCTGAAATACAAAACCGAACCTAAGAATCAGAATGTTCCAATGTCAGCTAAGGAAGAGAGAAAAAAGATGAGGTGACAGGCAGCTCAGCCTCCATATGGGTTCCCAAGTAAGGAGAGCAGAGACTGCCTCTGTCATGAACTCGGTTGACTGCTCTTTGATTACTCTCCCCACCTACACCCCCAGCGATGCAGCCTTGCCAGGCCACAGAGGAAGAGGATCCAGGCAGTCCTGGTGAGACTTAATAAGCTATGTGCAGATGGCAGAGGAGGAGAACTTTTCCTTTCAGTGGACTAGGGGAAGGGAATAGGGGAGAAGAGGAAGGGAGGGTAAGACTGGGAGGAGTTGAGGGAGGGGGCTTCACTCGGGATATATAATGAATAAATTGTGTAAAAAATAAAATAAAAAGAGTGGCAGCAGCCAGGCACCATGGCTTATGCCTGTAATGCCAGCATCTTGGGAGGCAGAGGCAGGCAGATCTCTGGGTTCAAGGCCAGCCTGGTCTACAAAGCAAGTCCAGGACAGCCAAGGCTACACAGAGAAACTGTCTTGGGGAAAAAAAAATAGTGACGGCAGTGTCTTACACAGGACTTGAACTCCTCCACCCTGCCATCCCACTACTCTGTCCCGTGCTGCAGAGGCAGCCCAGTTCTTCCTGGCTCTGATGGGCAGACAATACTCCGAGGCTGCATGTCAGTCACTCTGCGCTGCTCTGGAGCCTAGAGATGGACACCAGTGAAAACAAGGACCCACCTTGACCGCGTCTTTCTTCTCAGTAACGATAACTGATTTGTTGTAGTCTCGATGTTTTGGAAGTTTTTCAATGAACAGCCTAAGGAAATAGACCAGAATGACTAGGATACACAGAAAATGTCGCATGTCTTCTGAGATGGGTGCTGGGGAGTGAGGCCAGGCGTAGCACACTGGCCCTGTTCCCAGACAGAGGTCCCGCTCTCCTCTCCCCATGCAGGGAGATTCCTACATGAAAAAGGACAGCGGCAGGTGGATGACATGACTGAGCAGGTGAAGGTGCCTGCAGCCAAGGCTGGGAACCAGAGTTTAACCTCTATACTCACACGCTGGAACAGGACAACGGATTCATCCAAGTGGTTTACCAACCTCCATGGGCGCCACACCGCAGGTGCTCCCACCCCGCCCAAGAAAATGAAAATTTAAACTATTGGCCAAGAAGGATGTAGCATCCGCTGATGCCCATAATTACAGCTCTGAAGAGACAAAGCTAGTTTTAAACTAGACTGTAAGAATGTTTCAAAACAGAGAAGAAAAGCTCCCCCCAAATCGCAAGCCAAATGTAAAGAAAGCCTGTCCGATGCCCGGATTGTAATTCTAAAGAAAAAGGTCTTTCCCTTGTGGTGTGACAGAAAGGGCCTCTGTCATAAAACCTCCCTCATTCTGTGATGGCTAATCTTGGTCGCCTACCTGGCACCCCTGGGAAGAGGGAAGCTCAGCTGAGGAACTGCCCCTGGGCCTACCTGCACCATGTCGATGCTAATTGATGGAGGAGGCACAGTCCACCGGGAGCATGCTTTCCCCAGGCAGGCGGGCCCAGACTGGATAGAGGAGGCAGCGAGGCCGGCCAGGAAGCAGTACTTCTCTGTGCCTTCCCCCACATCCCCACCTCGGCCTCCCATACTAGTTAAGTCCTTTTCTCCCAATCGCTTTTGGTCAGAGTGGCTTGTCAGAGCAACCGAGATGCTAACCAGAACTGAGGCGAAGGGAAAACCATGACTATTATTGCTCCTGCGACCTTGTCCTCTACAAGTTTCTCCTGGGACTCATAATCCTCCAGAGAAGACTATTTTGCACCAAATCAAGTATGGGAACGTTTCCAGGCATGTGCAGCCTGTGGCCCACAGGCAGATACAACTAAGTGTAACTACGAAGGCAGCTCAACACGAAATCATAAACTTATTTAACGATAAAGTGCACAAGCCAACAGTGACAAGAGAGCTCTGTGGGTAAAATCCCATGCTGCACAGTCTGCAGAGCCTAGCCCAGTCATCCAGAGAAGGAAATGACTCTCGAAAGCTGTCCTCTGGCCTCCGCACATGCACACGACAAGCTCCCCACACACCTCCCTGCAGTACTACCATTAAATATAATAGTAGTAGCAATAATAGATTAATTAAAAGACTGTGCCCCCAGCCAACCTGTGCCATGTACTCATATAGTTATGGTCAGTAGCAGGCACAGGAACAAAAGGTGGGGACGAGAATCATTGTGGAGATCTAACACCAGGCTGGAAACTTCCTAGGGGTAACACAGCACAGCAGTGGCCCAGATGGATGCATTTGTCTGGGGTTACATCTGGTTGCAGACTAGAGAAAGCAAATACATCCAAACAAAGACACATCAGCAAACACACAAAACCCACCCGACAGAACAACAGAAAAGGAGGAAAGGGACAAGCAGTAAGTACATAGAAGCATGGCGCTCAGCTTCACCGCTGATGAAGGCAATAGGAAAGGTGAGATAGCAGTTTTGCCATCAGATTGGCAAAGGCCTCAAGGTAGGTTGTGCGCAGGCGTAGGAAAATGCGTGTTCTCATGTGTTAGCAAGACAGTAAACAGATCTAACTTTTTTCTTATTGGAAAGAAGAGATGGGAGACAATTATTCAAAACTTAAGATGCACATATCCACAAAACTCCCAGTTTGGTCTCAAGGAATTTATCACAGAGATCAACATAACAACATATATGCATGCACCGAGATTATACATACAAGGAGATTCAATACGGACTTACAAAAGCTGGGGAAACGACAATGTCCATCAAGGCACGCTAGCTGAATAAATCATTACATATCCAAATTAAAATAATGTTATCAATCACTCATTCATTCAAAAACTATCTACTGGGCATCTCTATAAAGTGCCATGGGCTCTGAAGGCTAGGGATATCCTAAATTATCTACTCAAACCTTTCCCTCATTTATGGGGCACCCATTACAATGGAGAACAGACATTTTAAAAAGTATGCCAAATATCCCAGAAACAGAAAGACACAAATGGTATATACCCAGTTATAAGTGGATATTAGACATATAATATAGGACAATCATACTAAAATCTATACAACTAAAGAAGCTAAGCAGGAAGGAGGACCCTGGGTAAGATGATCAATCCTCATTCAGAAAGGCAAATGGGATAGACCTCAGAAGATGGAGAAAACAGGGAACAAGACAGGAGCATACCGCAGAGGGCCTCTGAAAGACTCTACCCAGCAGGGTATCAAAGCAAATGCTCAGACTCACTGCCAAATTTTGGGTAGAGAAATAAGGGGGAGATAGAAAGACCTGGAAGGGACTGGAGCACCACAAGGAGAGCAACAGAACCAAGAAATCTGGGCCCAGGGGTCTTTTCTGAGACTGATACTCCAGCCAAGGACCATTCATAGAGATAACCTAGAACCCCTGCACAGATGTAGCCCATGGCAGTTCAGTATCCAAGTGGGTGTCCATTGTAATAGGAACAGGGACTGCCTCTGACATGAACTCAGTGGATGGCTCATTGATCACCTCTCCCTGGGGGGGAAGGGGAAGCATCCTTACCAGGCCATAGAGGAAGACAATGCAGGCAGTCCTGATGAGACCTGATAGGCTAGGGACAGAGGGAAGGGGAGGAGGAGCTCCCCTATCAGTGGACTAGGGGAGTGGGAAGGTAGGAGAAGAGGGAGGGAGAGTAGGATTGGGAGGGAACGAGGGAGAGGGCTACAGCTAGGATACAAAGTGAATAAATTGTAATAAAAAAATTTTAAAGTATGCCAAAAAACAAAACAAAACAAAAAAGTAGTACTTTTATGGCTGGAGAGATGGCTGAAAGGTTAAGAGCACCGGCAGGTCTTCCGAGGACTGAGCTCAATTCCTAGCACTCACATGGAAGTTCATAGCAATCTCTAACTCCAGGCCCATGGGATCTGACACCCTCTTCTGGCCTCCTCGGATGCCAGGCATATATGTGGTACACAGACATACAGCAGATAAAACACCTTACACACATAACATAAATACATAAACTAAATTGAGAAGAAAAGGAGTCAGTGGAAGGAAGCTCATCATTAGTGGGCAGGAGGTGGTGACTAGAGCACGGGGTTTGAGGTGGGGTAAAGGGAAGCAAAGGAGATGCCGTCTTGTGATGAGTGGGGGCTGGAAGAGAGTTGGCTATGAAGAGATCCAGGAGACGTTCGGGTGGATGGACAAGGCTCCATGTGTCCCCACGTGGAGATACAGTATCACTAAGAGAACAAGCTCAGAACAGAAAACAGACTGCAGCTGATGTGTGCGTTAAGGGCAAAGGTGCATGGGTGTGTGGAAAAGCTACCTTGTAGGAGCACGTCCATAGGAGGCGCTGTATGTGCCGGTGGGTTCGCTATTATTCCTCTGTGTGTGCCTGTGTCAGGGGGTGCCTGAGCACACGTGTGGAGGTCAGATGACAGCCTGCGGAGGCCGTTCTCTCCTTCTACTTCCAGGGGTTGGAACCAGACTAGCATGTCGAGTGCTTTGCCACTGAGACATCTCACCAGCCCGCCACTAAAAAAAATTTAACTTGAATTCCTCCCTTCTAATGTTTGAGGAAAAATTACCATGAAAAGTATTTTTGTATGAAAATAATTCATTCAAAAAGTCGAGCAGTCAGTCAATAAAAGGGTGTGCTCAGGACCCTCATCTCATGTGCTCTGGTTTCTGCAGTTAATCATGGAAGTGGGCCTGAGCACAGGAGACCTCCTTTGGTCTATAAACCCTAATCCCAGGAAATGCCTTCAATACAGGCGATGGTTCATTTGCAGAAAGAGGACTTGTGTTAAGCTCACACAGGGCAGCCGACCCGTACTGCTTGAGTATTCTAAGTCCCTTCTGTGCAGCCTTCTGATGCCCATAAAAAGCTGTGAAAGAACCCACGGCCTGGCTTATTGTCTGTGCTCATCATGAAAGTATGCACAGAAGTTCTTTCTTCTATACTGGGGTCTGCAAAAGGCAACACATTCCTTCAGCAGGGAAACTACTACCGAGGGGGTGGTATGCCTGAGATCACTAAGATGCCTGGACGTCTCTGGGAGGAAGGACAGACATGCCTTTTAAATCCTAAACTAAAGCACCCATGAAAGGCCCAGAGCAAGATTCTTAAGAGTGAGGAGGCAGAAGGGTGGTGAGGTAGAGGTCTACTCCACCCCCCACTGTAGTCGTTGGCAGAATGAGCCAATGGTGTGAACTGGCAGGACATTCCAAGTGGACGCCAGTCTGAAACTCACGGGGCTAACTCTCTGCAGCCACCATTTGTCACTTCCCAGCCTCGGAATCAGGAGAGCAGTGAAGGCAGCTGCATCCACCGCTTCAAGCCTAGTCAACCCAGTGCACTCTCAAATTAAGTCCCAAATCCAACAAATCAAGCAAATGATACACAACCCCCCCCGGCCCCCACCGTAACTCTGTCCCAGGCCTAGCTCACCATGTACAGGGACAGACATCGCACCCCATTTCAGTCTCAGAACTAACACTGGTATTTGTCATTCAGGGTAACACCAGGTCACATAAAAAAGACAGAACCAATTTCTTAATCATCCATTCATATTATTATAGTTGTTGTTGTTGGTGCTGGGGACCAGACCCAGGGTTTTCCATATTCTACACAAATTCTGCATCACTGAGCTGCATATTAAGAGTCCTCAGGGACTCCTAATAGCATTAATACATTTGATTCTATTTCTTAGGAGCTTATTATACTTAATGCTTTCTATTGCACCACTATCCTCCTTTTTTTTACAAGATCTTTTCTCTAAGAAACAACAAAAAAAACCATGCTCTAGAATTTCTGTATTCTAAAATACAGAGATGCATACTCACACTTATCTTCATTCAGTGACTTCCTCATGATTCTGTTTTGTATATTACCCAAGTTTCTATAAAGAAAAGTTTCTAAGCCATGTGTGGTGGGGAACACCTTTAATCCTAGCATTCAGGGGCAGGAATCTCTGAGTTTAAGGGCAGCCTGGTCTACACAGTGAGTTCCAGGAGAGTAAGGGCTACACGTAGGGAGACCCTGTCTCAAGGAACAAATCAAAAAACCAAGACAGAACAAAACAAAAAAATCAAAAATCAAAACACTCAAAAACCCAAAACAATCCTCCCCCTACTCCCACCATAAAAAAAAAAAATCCAACCTGTCTACACCAGGGTTTGGCAAAGTAAAACTAGTCGGCCAAATCCAGCTAGCCATCTTTTCTTGTAAACAAACAAAAACAACCTGGAAAAACCCAGACACTGGGGTTTGCCAGAGCTAGTGGAGGGGCGCTGCTGGCACCTAGTGGGCACAAGCCAGGGATGCTGCTAACCCCCTCCAACACTCAGGTCAGTCACAGAGCCAAGCAGCATTCCCTACTGTGCCAGACACCCAGCATAAGACTGACAGGAAACTTGGTGTGTTGCGACTGATGTACTGATAGGAAACTCAGTGTGACAGGACTGGTGTGTGTGTGTCTGTCTGGGGGACCCAGGGGGAACTGCTAAGTCAGTGTCTCTTTTGGGGGGAGGGATAGTGGGGGAGATTTACTAAGATCTCTAGAGAATGCCTTCTGCAAGTCTAAACGGAAACCTGAAACAGGAGCTGCAAAACCTCGGAGGTGTCACCATAAACCGAAGCCCAAGCTCATCCTTAACCCTGAGGGTGCTCCTTTGCAGAATTGAACTGGATGGGGATGTGCCTACTCAGTGCACACCGCCCTGTGCAGATGGAGGAAGTCATGCCAGGGAAACCTCTCTTGAACCCAAGTTCCTTTGAGTCAGTCAAATCTTTAGGTCCTACTGTACTAAACTTAAGACTTCTTCCTCAACCACACAGCACTCACCACTGGGGCATTAGGACTTGTTCCCTGGCAACAGCCTTGAAATCATGTATTTATTCTGCCTACTCAGAAGAATGAACAGCTCAGGAAAGGTCTGACTGTGATGGGTCATCCGGCGACTATGTGACTACAGTGACAGCTATGGCATGAGTTCCGGAATCTAGGCTCCCACACACCAGCAGTGGTCCTGAAACCGGCTGCCTAAGCATAGAAAGGGCAGTCAAAACACACACCAATACAGATACACTTGGCCAACTTTTTTATCTAACAGCTGGGACATGGTGGCACAGACTGAAAACTTATTTGACTCAGGAAATTGCTTAGTCAAATAATACCACCTTCGGTGCTTGTGCCTTTGGATGGCAAGAACAATTCACGTGTGGAAGTTGCCTGGAACCTGATTAACGGCTGACATTGTCAAGGTCCCTACTGTTGGCAACTGTGAGAGTCACAGATGAGCACAAAATACAAGGGGTGCCAGTCACAGGAGTGGAAAGGAGAACTGTGGGTGTCTTACGTGATGTACTTATTGTAGAGGATAAAGGCATGTTCAATGTTGCCTTCTTCAGAGTAAATGGATGCCATGCGGATGATCTCAACGCCAGAACGAAAGTATCGGCGAGGTGGAATGTCTTCATTTAATTCAACAGCACTCCCAAGTTGGGACAGAATCCTCACCCGGTCTTGGGGTGGGAGGCTCACATCTCCATGGTCAGACATTGGCCCAATAAGGTCTGGGACAGAAAAGAGAAAACAGGTAACATCAAAGCCAAGGCTATATCTTCCAGAGTGGTCTAGTACTGGATGAGTGTATCACAAATCTTTCAAAAAAGAGCGAGGCATGGCTGAGCACATCTCTAATACCAGCACTTGATGAACAGAGGCAGGTAGATCTCTGATTTCAAGGCCAGTCTAGTCTGCATATCGAGTTCCAGGACAGACAAGGCTACAGAGACAGACCCTGTCTCAAAACAAAAATAAAACGCAAAACAAATAAAAAATGAGCAAACAAAATAGATATAGTGGTTCTGATCAATAAATTATCCCTCCTATCCACAAGAACACCCCAATCTTGATTTGAGGACTGAAAGGTTTAAAAAACAAATAAGTCCTTGTCCCACAATTTGATGCTACAAAGAATATAGGCCCCTTTGGATTGGTACCATTGTGCCCTTAGTCACTCTTCATCAGTAGGAGGCCCACCTAGAGCACTGTAGCTGTAAGAAAGCATCTTCTACTTGTTCTGTTTCTCTATCCAGATACCTACTTCTGTTTACCCATACCTTGAAGAGTGTTTTCAGTGAGCCCCCGTGAAGACGGCCGGTTAATTCATGCTGACCACTGCATTTTACCAGAGTATAAGTTGATTTTATCAGGATACACTTCCTCAGTGTTCAAACAAGGTGTGTGTGTGTGTTGGGGGGCGGTGCTTTCTAGGGTGAAGGATCCCAACTCTGCTCACTAAACCACCATTCCATTCAGTCCATCACATTTGCCATTTCCAGGGCCCGGAAGTCAGTGCTGGGAAGCATCAATGTATACTTGTCTCCACAAGCCAAGCAGGGCTTGAACAGCAAAGCGACAGGTGGGGTAGGGCACTCCTGGAGTTCCTACTCATTGGAACCCAAACTCCAGCGAGTTTACATTCTTCCTAGACTGTCGCTTCTGTTAGACCGCGGCTCCAATGACGCCATCATCCCACATAATCCGGAGTGGAATGGGGGTTGTCTGTGTCACTGGCTAACAGCACACCCCAGCCAGCCAATTTAAGGATACTCTCATCGTGGGTTGTTTTTCCCATCTCTGTACCTTATTCCTCAGTCAGAATTTCCATCTGCCAGGAAACCGCAAATCACACTCTCGTTCGTTCAACCTTTGCTTTTCTGAGTTCTACTCACCTGTCCTCAAAGATCACTTTCTCTAGGCCAATTCTACTCCAGCTCTCAACCCTTGGGTGGCATTTCCTCCATGAAGTTTCCTCACTCCGTCTTGTCTAGCTGCTAGGAATGTGGGGGCATTGCGTGTGTAAAACACACCCTCCTGTCAAACCTGCCCAAGTCCCTAACTGCTGAACTGGGCGGGGCCCAGCAGAGCTCACTGGAATGGGGCGCTGGGCATCTCGGCACCTCTCCGGAGAGGCGCGTGTGGGTACGGAAGCCGTCGAGTGGCCCGGGACAACACGGGGTTCAGTAACCCCACAGAGGAAAGGCAGTGTCCACAAAGAAGGGGGGAGGACTATGGCAAGAGGGGCTCTGGAGGACTCGAAGGGAAACTGCAGAGGCAAAGGGGCGAGTGCATCGGAGAGGGATCCAGCAGAAATCGCCTGCAGCGCCCTTCCAAAGGCACTCAGTCAGGTTTCTCGAAAATGAAGGAGTACTGAGTCAGGGCCTGGCCCGTCAGGAGCCAGCCCTGGGGACAGGGCCATCCTGGAGCTCGCGCGCGGCGGGCCGGGACCAGGGACACGGGCCCCACAACGCACAGCCTCTCCCCGCGGGGTCCCACCGCGCCAGCACCCCCCGTCCCGCAGCATTCCCCGGACCCTTCCCACCTTTCGTGGAGGATGACGATCGGAGCTTCCGGAAACGTCACCTCCGATGACACGCCCACTCGCGCCACTTCTTCAGCGGCGTTCCAAGGATTTAGGACCTGGTGTGGAGAACGGGTGGGTGGGGCTGGAGTCATCCACCAATGAGAGCGAGCTCTGCAGCCGTCCTCTCGGTAAAGGAAGAGAACCAGGAAGAAAAGGGGACCAAGTGAAAGAGGGACCTGAACTGCAGAACGAACCAGTATGTTTTAAAAATCATTACGAAGCAGGACTTTCCTGCCAATGCATCGGAGTATAGCAATTTAAGTTTCAAGGGGGATTGCTGTCTAGCGTGTCATTCACGGCTCAGGTGACGTCACCTCTTCAAACAAAACTTCACTGACTACCTAAGTAGCCACCCAGCCACCCTCTGTCAGTGGGTCTTGCCTTTCTTTTCGTTTTTTAACTTACATTCATTTTTATCGTGTGTGTGAATCGTGTGTGAGGGTGGGGGAGCATGCCACGGGACGGTGATTGTCAAAGGACAACTTGTGGGACAGTTTCTTTCCTACCATATATATGGGTTCTGGATCAGGTGACTCGGATCATCAGCCCTGGCAAGTGTCTCTACCCCCTGACCCACCTTACCAGCTCGTGTTGGTCTTGTTTTTAATTTTCATAGTTCCCACTCTCGTCGGATTCTCCTAAAACTGATTTCTCAAAAGAAGGGACTTTTTTTTTTTTCTTTTCTTACAGCTCTATCCCCAGGGCCTGTAATGGCTTATGGTCCCAATCCCAACACATTCTTGGATGTGAAGCTGTTACTGAGATAAAGGGTCCTGGAGATGATGAGGTGGACTAACCAATTGTGAAAGTGCAGATGATAGGCAGATCATTATGTTCTTGGAACCGACTTTTCCCTACAAGTCAACCAGAGCGAGGGGCAGAAGGCGTTGGGATGAGGTGCCCTCCCTAATTTAGGAAGTATCTAAGATGTTAAGTGTGCAGGAGCACTTGAGGGACACTGGGGAAGAGAATCTCACTTCCTGCTGTGAAAGGCTGCCAGGTGTGAGATGAAGCAGAAGGAAATCACTAGGACGAGCTGCGAGCTTCCTGCACCACAAACACGCACAAGCCTGTCTTGAACTTGGCTGAGGCAGGAGCATGTTTGTGAGAAGTGCGGTGCATTCTAAAGACAAACTGGTCACAGCATTGACCTCTTTGCTGTGAGCCCACTGGGACTGAAAAAGACAAAAAGGGGAGCCATGAGCACTTGTGGAGAAAGATGTGGTTTTACTGGCTCAAACACAGGAAAAGGCACCGAAGCTTTAAATTTGTGCACTATTATTACAGGAAAATTACGTACCCGATACTTAGCTCCAGCTATAGAGCGCACCTCAATTAATTGGCCCAAATCTTCGAGTCCAGGAGTCATAGCAACAATGAGAGGGGCTTGTAGTTTTGAACTCCATTTTCTTTGAAGACAGGTCTTTCCTGTCACCAAGAACAAAAAAGACAGGGAAATAAGTTCTGACAACTCATTGGAAACATCGTCAGTGTGTATTTGTCTTGTTAAAAATGAATGCTTAAGCCAGGCATGATGGTGAAAGCCGGAAAGACAGACATGGTAGTTCCTCTTTCCCCAGGTTCTTAGGCTAGGGAGATCATTTCCATGTTTCTTTTAAATGTTTACTGATAAATGTGCTTATCACTTGCATAAGATTTCCCCCATTCTAACAGATGATGTAAGCATATATCAACAAAGACCTTAGATTGATTGAATCTGACTCATGAACTGCTGACAACTTTCAAGGAGCAAACAAATGGGATTAAAAAGATTCTTTTCTATCTTTAACTTGGCTCAGCAGTGGGGTGAAGTTCATGGTGTACACCTCTCGGGGAACGACCCATGTTAAAGATATAAGTGAACTCTGCCCGCTAGCAGCAAACAGCAGAGAGGCGGAAGCAGCCGACTGCAAGCTTTCCTTCTGTGTAAAAGTAACTTTAATTTGCCTGTTTCGGTTGTTGTCTGGGAGGCTTACTGCTAACCTACGCCTAGTCCTGGAAGCTTCTAGCCTCTGTAGAGTCTAACCTAGGCCTAGAACATTTTCAGTCTCTGAGACTTACTGGTGAATAAGATCACCCTTTTTTTGTTCTTAATGAGTTGTTGGCTGGCTGGTCTTGAACTCAGATCTGCTTGCCGCTGCCTCCTGGATTAAAGGCGTGTTTGTATTCCAACCGGATCACACAGCCCTAGGTCTTGTCAGAACAGCAATGTTCTGAATTGAAATACCTCTTCACTTCCTGGTTCAGTTGGTTCAGTTCTGCCTGTACTCTGCCGCCTTTCATTTCCTAGGCCATACCTGAAAAGATGCTCCCCCACCCTGTTGACAGTGTCTCACTCGGAAGCCACTGTGGGCTGCAACTCGCCAGGTAGCTTGTGCAAGCATCAAACACACAGCGATTCTCCTACGTTACGGTGCTCAGCTACATGCTTCTTCTGCGGGTGTAGCCGGTGTGGCAGTTAACTGGCTCACTTCAGCTTGCAAACTGCCAGTATAGAATCTGGACCCTCCAGCATTCTGTACTACCCTTGGGTGCAGGACCAGGCAAAACTGAAGAGTTAGAGAAAGAAGATATTAGTGAAGGCCAGGTAAAGTACCGGTCCAGAAAAAAAAAAATGCATTTGTGTGGATTTTTATGTTTTACCGTGTGAAATGAACCAACTCACCTTGCCTCCCTTTGTATTTTCAGAGCCGGCAATTAGATTATTCGTTATGTAGCAAGGGAGTCCGGAAATGGCCATGAAATCTGCAGACCAAAGAGGAAATCTAAACACGGTTTCTCATGTTCTGTCTCCTGTTAGCGTGCATGCAGATGGTAAGTCACTTTTCATGGTTCACAAAGGCATTTATACACAGTTCCTTTTTAGTGGCCTAAAACCTCAGCAAAAAGACACTGCCTTAACTGTATCCAATTAACTATCTTAACCCACTTAACTTTTGAGGGGCTAGATATCGAGCCCAGGGCCTCATGCACTCCAAGCAAGAGCTCTACCACGAAGCTGCATCCCAGTCCAACACAATCTTTGTTTGTTGTAGTTTTTCTGAGACAGTTTTTCTGTGTATCTCTGCCTGTCCTGGAACTCATTCTGTCGAACAAGTTGGTCTCCATCTTAGAGATTCGCTAGCTTCGGCCTTTTGAGTACTGGATCTCAAATAGTGCCAGCCAAAATGCTGTAAGAGGAACTTCCTGCTTCATGAGAGCCTGGGTTGCCTTTACCCCTCACCTAGCTAGATGTGTTAGTCAGTTTTCATCACTGTGACAAACTACCAGAGGGAGTAACGCAAAAGAGGAAAGTTTACTGTGGCTCACAGTTGCAGGTGTTTCAGGGCTGAGACAGCATCAGCAGGAGGAGTCTGGGGAGGAGACAGGAAGGGGCAGGACTAAGACCCAAGCTTCAAAGCACACCCCTTTTGACACACTGCCTTTAACAAGGTCCCACTTGCTAGTTTCTGTCACTGCCAAGTAGTGCCATCACATTATGACCCCACCAAAGGGTCAATACTTTATATATATATATTTAAATCTTATAGTTGGCTTTTAAAGACTAGGTTTCGACTTATATTTCACTCCATGTATGCTTTCCTAGTCATGTTCTGTTACCCTTTCAGGCAAAGCAACATAGGCATACTGCATGCTTTCTCATGAGAACTGTGTTTTTGTTTTTTTAATAGCAGCACAAACCAGCTTGACCTGATGGGCTTTATGGGAAACAATAAAGAAAGGCACTTGAGAAATGCAGTAAGGTACACCATGCCTCAAGTTCAAGGTCAGGTGATTGCAGCCCAGCTTTTGGTGAACTCCCTTTGCTTTTAAACCCTTGTCTAGTCTAGTGCTTCTCCTGCAACTTTTGAGTGGCTCTCACTAGCTTCTGTGTCAGTGCTAAAGTGAGTCAGGCTGAGTTGCTAATGATTGACTTGAGGAGTAAGCTGCTGTGTGGTAGGAAATCTATGGATTTGATCCTTTCTTGGGCTGCTAAGTTTTTAGGGTTGCCTGGGGATTTCTTTAGTATGAGTGAGTGAGTAATATAAAATTATATTCTTATAAGAATATTAAGTAAGTAATATAAGTAAGTAATAATATAAGTGAGTAAGTGACGTAAGATTCCCAGGGCCACAAGAGAAAGGAACATAAGACAGACTTCTAAAGATAAATACTGCATATATAGTCCTTTAAAAAGTTTTTATATTTCCAGGATTGTGTGTGGAAGATTTGAGAGTGAAGAATATGGCTTCAAATATGTGATGTTTTCAAGGTTTTGTTTTCTGCTTAGTTCAGTGTCCTATTTCATAAAAACCCTTTCCATGGTCCTCCTGTTTACTCTGTGAAATGTCTTGGGTTTGGGGCTCAAGGAGTTCACTGAGGTGGACTGTCCTTGATTTGTTAGAAGAGTCATTAATGCCACAGGCAGATAGACAGACAGGCACATGACAAAAGCTCTAAAGAGGGTTTAGGCCCACATGGCAGAGTTGGGGGTGGTGGTTCTTGTTGGTTTCAGAGGAAAGGAGGGAGGCTGATGAATACAGGTTGTGTCTAAAAGTAGGAGGTGCACATATTGGAAAGAAGAGGACTGGCTGGGGTAGAAAGGGGATGGGAGACGGTGACGGGGTATGTGTGAAAACGACCAAATACACTACAGACATGGAAGAATTATCAGAGTATTAGAAAAACAAGTTCAAGGTAAATTTTGGCTGTATAGTAGGCTTGAGGTTAGCCTAGTTACATGAGACCCTGTCTAACAAAATAGAAGGAGAGCGAGAGAGCCGGAAGAAGATAGGCTAGGTTGCATTTCCTCTGCAGAGGTCACCATCTTCAGCATTCCCGCAGGCATGATGGTAAGTCCTGCACTCTATAACTGTTTTCACCCTATTTCACCGGAACTAAGCTGGGGACTAAATGTCTAACACAACGGCTTGTGGAACATTTTTATAGAAATTCCGTTTTTACACATTAATGTATTCAGTGCCCATGTTCAGTTCCATTTAGGCAAGTCCCAGGACTGCCCTGGACCGTGGCTCCTGCAGTGATTTTTCTCTCCACCGTTCAATACTTGATTCTAGCTGCACTCTCTGCTCTATTGGAACCTGTCGGTTGTAGTGTTAATTTTGTGTCCTGCAGCTTTGCAGAAACGTTTATCAGTTTTCTGGAGGCGTCTTTGGCTCTCAAGTGCTGCACCACATCCCTGTGCATGAGGACACTTTAATGCTCCTTTCTTATTTGTTTCCCCTATTTACTTCTCTTGTTGACATGACTAAGACTTTAGAGAGACTATTGCATGAGGGGAGAAAGTGGACACGCTTGTCTTGTTCCTGATTTTACATAACAGTTTGAGCTTTTTCTCATTTAGTATAATATTGGCTATTGGCTTGTTGCATATAGACATTATTACATTGAGATATGTTCCTGAGGACTTGAGTTTAATTCCTAAAACCTAAAACCTACATTTTTTTTTTAAGACCCAGTCATGGTGTTACACACTTCTGAGTTTCAGACTAGCCTGGGTGTAGCAAAAGCCTGTCTCAAAATCTTCTCACAATAAACAACCCTAACGTGTCCAAATGCAGAGACTAAGTGACAGTTGAGTGCCCAGCCCTGTGAGAGAAGCTACGTCAACAAAGCACCACTCTTGGCACGCTGGTGAAGAGGCGATACAAAGGCAGAGCTGTGGGTGGGAGGAGAGCTATGGGATGCTGTCTCCTGGCCAGGACAAGGCTACTGCTCCAATGAGCTCAGTGCGTGGCAGGGCTAGGCTAGATGGCCACAGACCCAGGGCCCCTTCTCTCTGAGCTGAGAAGGCCAGGGCAGGACTCACTGTGTGTCAGGACATGCGGTGGGGAGAAGAGATCTAGGTTCAAGATGGCACACAAGGAGGTCTGTGGTTCAATATTTTATACTACTTTTATCATGCGTCTAGCCAAGGTCCCATGAAGGAACCAGGTGTGTGGAGAGGGGGACACTGGAAAGCTATTGATCAGAGAGCATTATGCTTGTCTCCCTTTCTAGAACTGCAAAAGACTGAGTCCAGAGAGCGAGACCGCGGGCACCAGGAGGAGGAAGGGCCCAGGGGGAGCTCACCATCTGCAGGCATTGTACCTCACTGCTGCAGACCTGCGCGTTCTCTGTGGCCATCCCATAATAGCTGCCAGGTGCTGACTGTGAGCGCTGGGGCACAGCACAGCTCAAAGGCTTGCCCACAAACTGGAATCCCTGGGGAGCCTTTTTCCCCCTTGACTTCTACACAGTGACATATCTGTGTCCCGAGTTCTGACCTCATGGGTCTGAGCTCCCAGATGCACTCAGCTATACATGCTTGGACACAAATATGCATTTACATTACTTCCTAAATGTTTAAAATGAAGCTGGCAACATGCGGCTCAGATGTAGACTCCTCGCCCAACACTGTGATGCCCTGGGTTCCATCCCCAGCTCAAACTACCAGGCTGCAGGCAAAGTTGCCAGCGTAACAGCAGAGAACCCCTGAGCCTGGAGGAGTTCCCATGGCTCAGACCTCACACTTGCTAACTGCTGCAACCTCTTTCTCTTCCTGACTTACCATTTTCATTGTTTCCCAAACTATTATAACCGTCTTTTACTTAGTTTAATTACTCAGTGTGTTTGGTATTTGAGACATGATCCTATACTGCCTAGGCTAAGCCTGAAGTTCTGGGCTCAAATCATCCTCCTGCCTCGGGATCTAGTGCACTGAAGTCACAGGCATGTCAACCCACTCCTGGTGGGTGGGGAGAGAAATTTTTAAATGAGATAAAATTGGGAAACAGGCGCTGGCCCTGGTTTCCTCCCTAGGGAAGAGCCAGAGACCATTTCCTCAAAAGGACCCTCAGGTCAAACCCTTCTTGTTCTCCACATGGCCCTTCAGAGCCATGAGTCACAAGAAAATGCCTGTGCAGAGCCCCGTGTGTGCTTTGACCACAGAGGAGTTGCCACCCAGGCAGGGCTGGGAGCGCAGCAGAGGATGAGGGCCAGAGGAACCTGGACTAAACTGTGTGCACATTCTAAAGCTCAGGAGCATCGTCTCCCTGTCTGCTGAGGGCCGGGCTAGAGAGATCTCTCCGTGGAGTGAGGAGGGAGTCAGAAAGCCCATCTTCAACCCAGTGAGCACTGGATAGGTGGATGATGGGAACTATGTGGAAAGTTTGACTCTAGGTTCATCCTATATAATAATTTGTCTTTTGAAGATTGGCCTCATGTAGTCCAGACTGGCCTTGAACTTGCTGTCATGAAAGATGACTTTGAATTCCTGACCCTTGTCTCTCTATCTCCCAAGTGGGAAATCCCATGCATGTACCTCCAGGCAGGGTTCTATTTGGTGGCTCCAGGTCCCACACTAGCCCAGGAGGGTCTTCTCCAGCTACTGCCATTCCACAGAGAAGGAAACAGATGCAGGAAGCTGGCTCGCTCAGCTACAAAGACTAAGGTGGAGCTACACCATTCCCTTCCCTGGCACAGTCCCATGAGGTAAATTGAGGTTCTGAAAACAAAGATGGTGTGCCCAGCATGTAGGTGTGGAGGTCAGAGGACAAACTTGGATGTTGCTTTTCAGGCATCTTCCAATTCTGAGACAAGATCTCTCAATGGCCAGAAACTTTGCCACATGAGCCAGGCTTGGCGTGGTCCTGGAAGGGTCAGCAGGTGAACTCAGCAGCGTGGATAGATGTGTAGGCAATGGAACCAGGAAGCTGTATGTAGGCTGGGACCCTGAAAAGACTTCCACACTCCAGCTGAAGATGGAGTCTTCAGGAGAAAGGCCTGCCCGAGAGAACGCCTGCGTGGTGTGCTCAGGCTGTTTCCACAAGCCACGGGCTACCAGAGAAAAAGTTCAGTCACACTGTGAGATAACCCCCCTGTGCTTTCAGTCAGGGAGGCCCGAGGCTTCCAGCACAATACACGCCATTATAATTTCTCCTGGTTACCCACCAGAAGTAAATGACAAGACCCTACTGTTCAAACCACAGTTTGATCTTGGCACATAGAGAAATTAGCTGAAACCGAACGATGAACTTTCATCCTGCTGCCTAGTTCTCTTTATGCAGGGTGGTGCTGGGAGAAAAGAGTCATCGGTTTCTGGCCAGTAGTGGATTCTACATACTGTAATGCTGGGGATGATATGCCCAAGGCTGTAATCATAATCTCACACAATGGAGCATAAAGGCCCAGGGGAAGAAAACACGCGATTGTCATTTTTCTAAATGGACATGTTGCCAAACTGCCTCCCAGATATTTATGTTTATAGAGAGCCCGTTATCAAAGACACTTCTTTTGCATGGGGAATGGTTAATACATAGACTCATTACTCATCAGAGGGTTGAGAACAAGTGTTGAGTGTTAAGTCCAGATCTATAAGACACACACACACACACACACACACACACACACACAAAGAGAGAGAGAGAGAGAGAGAGAGAGAGAGAGAGAGAGAATAAATGTACATTTATAATGAGAAATGAAAGTAGGAGGGAGGGAATGTGTTGGGAATAGGGGTTCCAAAAGGAGTTGGAGGAGGATGCAGGAGAGCATTGACAAGCAAATATGATTAAAGTATATTATAGATATACGAGACAGTGTCAAAGAACACGTTTTAAAATTTATAGGCATTAGAATTAAGTCTTTAATCCCAGCCCTGGGGAGGCAGGAGCCAGTGGCTCTTTCTAAGTTTCCGGCTGGCCTGAACTACATAGTGAGTTTCAGGCCAGATAGTGCTTCACACTGTGAGATCCAGTCCCAATAAAAATCAAGAAAAACAAAAAAAAAGGAGAAATAAATAAACAACAGGACTAAGCTGCCCTCCAGTACCTCATTAATCCTATTTACTGGCGATCACATCTCTCATTTGGTATGTTTATGTGATGCCTGGTCAGAAAGAAGACTCAAGAGAGTCACACAACTGTGAACTTTTATTGTAGAATTAAATAGCATTTTAAGGAAACTGCACATCTGTTTCTGTGGACTTTATGGAGAGCGACTGTGTGTTCTGCGTAGCTTCACTTCTAGGCAGGGCCAACATGAGCAGAAGCAGCAAAGAGAGTCACACCTACTCACAGTCCATAGTGAGCTGCTTCTGCCAGTCTGTCACTGACGGTGCCTCTGTCCTGTCATCCCTTTGCAGGACACCAGTTTTGTTGGTGGACAGAAGCAGGCACTACCTTCAGCAGTGAGGTCATTAAATCTTCAGAGCAATTTCTGACTTCCAGGAGACCTGTTCAGGCAAGCAGACTACTCCCTGCAGGCCAGACTTCCGTGGTTTGCTGAGTTGTGTTTGCTGGCCACAGTGCTCAGTCAGGACGATGGTCATCAGGAAAACATGGCTGTAGGACCAGGCAATCTGGCGGGGCTGACGTGGACTATGAGGAGGGCAGGAGGGCTGCCTCACACTGACTTACAGGAGACAACTGCGACACAGTCCACAGAGCTGCAGTCATCTCCTCTTGTCCCTCAGAGCTTGTGAGCTGGTCCACGCTGTTCCAGAAGTCCTTATCGTAGCTGTGATGCTCTGGAGCCTCACAAGTCAGTGATGATCAAACCCAAAAGATGAAGGCATGGAGAGGTTAAGCCCCAAACAGCACCCTCGAAGGTTCTCCTGGGAGCCCAGCAGAGAATCCCCACCAATAGGCTGTTCTCTTGTAAGCGCTGGCGTTGCTCTCGGTTTCCATGGTGTTGGGGCGCCGTGCTGACGAGTCAAGCATCTCGCCCGGGAAGACACCATGCTGTCTGTACCAGGGACTTCAGCTTCTCCCAAAAACTCTGCATTGCTGGTAAGCCTCGTCTGGGCTTACAATCAAAAAGCAACGAAGCTCTTCTGCACCAGAAGCTTTCCACGTCATCAGGTTCAAGTTCTGTGCCTCGCTTTTTTAAACAAGACTTTGTGTCTCACAGAAACCCTCTGAGCAGAGTCAGACGTGTGTTGATGTTGGCCGATGGAAGGATTCATCCTTCTTCAGTTGGTTTGTGAATGTTGGCATTACAACCTGTCCTCAGGCATCCTGAGGCAGGTGAGGCAGGTCAGCATTGAGTGCACTGGGCCTTTATAGCCATACTGGTTCCTGGCTAGAAAATATAATCTTAACCTGTTAGAAAACACACCATCTAACAAAGTCATTCTCAACTTGCGTTGAACTCCTAATATACTGTTCTACCCTGAAATAAGCTTCATTAATGGAGGATATATTAGTATCTTCCCTGAGCTCTGTGAGTAAGCACAGTGTGCCATCCATACACACCAGTGAACATACATGACACAGATGTAACATATATGACACAGGTTGAACATATACACAGATATATACACCACACTCATATATAGAAAACTACACACAGAGACACACACATGCAGACACACACACAAATTCCCACTGATGTAGGTGTGTGGGATTCAACTTATGTCTCATCTGTGACAGTCACCACACGGCTCTGGATGGTGGCGTGGCTGCAGTCCCGCAGTTGGAGAAAAGGAAATGTGGGTGAAGCATGGGAAACTCCTTTTTAAAACCACTTACACTTTTTCTATCGCACCAAAAGAGGGTCTCATGTGACCCAGGCTAGACCACATAACCTAGGTATCCCAGGATGATTCAGAACTTAGCCTCCTGCTGCCTCCCCAGTGCTGGGTTTTAGGCAAACACCACCATGACAGATTTCGCTGGTGCTGGGAATTGGAACCAGGGCTTTGTGCTTGAAGCAGGAGCACCCTCCCTGAGCCACGTCCCCAGCCATGAGCCTCTGGTGTAAGAAGCTCACTGAAGGCCAATAGTTCTCAGCCTAGAGGTGAGATCGTGATGTCAGTGGCAGTTATGGTAATGGGTCTGGGACCCAGCACGCCTACCTAGTACTCCTCACGGTCAGAGGCAGTGTCTTCCCATGTATCTTTGCACAGATTTTCCAGAGTCACTTGTGAACTAGTTTTTATGAAAAGGGACCAGTAAGTTCACTGCAGTGTTGGAGTCATGATGCCAATCAGATAGTAAAGGTGAGGTGTTCCCTAAGAATCTGTCAGTCTGACGCAGTTTGCCTATGTAGCCTCATCTTGCTTCAAACTGGTGTTCCTCCCGCTGCAGCCTCCCAAGTGCTGGCATTACAGATGTGTTTCCCCATGGCCAGGTTTGGAAAGGTTCATGACATCGGGTTCCAGGCCCGGCACTGCTGTTCCAGGATTTTTTTTTTTTGATTGTACAATCTCTATGTCAGCATCCTGGTACCTAAACATTATTATATCCCAAGATAGATCTAGGTGTTTTGGAACAGAACTGTTATAAAGTTCTTCCTCACACTTAGCTGAACCCTCATCTGTGTTTGGTTCGTGAGACTGCACGGTGGGGCTGGAGAGACGGTGCTGTGTTTATCGGCACCCACTGTTCGGGCAGGGGAGCAGAACTGCTTGACTCCAGATCCAGGGCACTGGGTCACCTCTTCTCACCACAACAGGCACTAAACTCACGCCCACAAATCTACAGAGACACGGAATTAAAGTCAAACCATTATCTGTTTTAAGAGCCTCCACAATGAAGTTACAGAAATAAACAAAAGTAATGAGTTATATATATGTTTTACAAAAGAAAGCTGAAATTTCATTTGGTTTTTATTGTTAGGATCAGGAGTATGATGCAAACCATAAACACACACGTGTAGGGACACACACACTTCTGCCTCTTGGGATTGGCACTCTGATCCCAGGATCTTAGCCTTCTCTGGGTCTCTGTGGCTACATCCCTGGCTCTTACACATTTCTGGGACAGGGTTCTGGTCCTTTCACTATGTTGCTGCATTTCTTTTGGCTCCCAACTTTATGGAAAAGTCCAAGCTGATGTGGAGTAAAGTGCCAGGATGTCACTGACCCGAGGCTGACCTGATGCACCGAGATGTGGTCATACACAACTGGGAGAAGAAACCACTTCCAAGGGAGGTGAGACCTACTTTCTAGGTTAAATTCCAGAATCAAATATGCTTGATTTGCCCTCCTACTTGGCTTTCTCCTTTGTATTCAGATAGCTGGCTATTCTGGTTTGAATATAGACTCATAGATTTGAGTGTTTGGTCGTCAGGGATTGGAACTACTTGAGAAGGAATAGGAGGGGTGGCCTTGTTTGAATGGGTGTGGCCTTTTGGAGAAAGTATGTCAGTAGAGGTGGGCTTTGAGGTTTTAAAAGTCCATGCCAAGCCCAGTGGCTCCTTTTTCCTGCTGCTGTGGATCCAGATGTAGAGCTCTCTGCTGCTTTTCCAGCACGATGTCTACCAGCATGACATCACGCTCCCCACAATGATAATGGACTAAACCTCTGAAACTATAAACATGCCCCAATTAAATGCTTTCTTTTATAAGCATTGCTGGGAATTTACTTAGCTTATGTCGTATTGATAAAGAACGAAGTAACATCTCATAACTATTGAATAAGCTAATGGATTCCATACTTTGTTACTTCTTGCCCCATGTTACTGGGAATGGAATCCAGGGCCTTCGGCTGCTGAGCACATACCCTGCCACTGAGCTACACCAGCCCGACTTGCTTCATCCTCTCAGGGCAGAGGAACTCGGCAGTAGAAATGAGTAGGAAGAAGAATCAAGCAAAGAATTAGGTCTGTTCAGATCTACCAGTGTGAGGATAAAGAGGGAAGGCTAAACCCAGAGTCTGCTAGACCCTGTGGGACAGCACCCAGGGCACAGACGTTTACTGCAAAGGAAAGCAGGCTGGTTCTTGGCTTTCCCGACACTAGCTCTGCTGACGAATTCAGAGGAAACATGGCGTTGGGAGTGAAGAGAGATGGTACTCAGATAGTGTCTGGAGTGGAATGTCTTCAACCTCGGGCTCCTGAGGAGTCTTCTTGAGGTTTGTCTTAGAAAACCTTCAGCGGTGTCACCATATCTTTTCAAAGTGGCTGGTGTTAATCAGACTATGTGCCTGAAAGGGAGGCTGTTATAACAAACAGTTAAGGTACTCTGTTTTATTAAGTTTTTAAATAGTCTGATCCATGGAGAATGGACCTGAACCCCACATGTTCACTGTTTGTGTCCAGGGGAACACACCACTGGGACGGATTCAGGCATCATCCTTTGCTACCCAAAATGGCATTGTAAATCAACTGCACAGGAGGCTGTCTGGGTGAGATGGCTTTGAGAAGACAAAAGAAGCCAGGGATTCCCAGTGAGCCCAGCCAGCCATGCCTGATCCACCAAGGAAGGTAGGCCAAGGCGCTTCAGCGACTTGCCCCACCATGATTCCTCAAAGCATGCCAGGGGAACACTCTGGTGTGCTAGGTGGAGAAGGAAGAGGGAACAATCTACTTTGTCCTCCTGATTCATGGAGGTCAAAATAAGCCCAGGTTCTCTGAATTTCTTCCTAGATGGTCCCTCACTGAGGGCAAGACTCTTTTCTTCATCCAGGCTTACTTCTACCTGATGTGTAAACAGTAACATTCCAGCTTCTAACACCTCTGCTTTCCATCTACCAACAGCTGATTCTGGTTCCATCCTCACCAAGAGTCCCCATGGCTACCTCAAATATGAGTTCAGCATCTCTCTGGATCCTCAGCTGCCTGCTTCAGTCCTGCCCGTGGGACCTGTGTGATTTCTCCTTATGTGAGAGGAGCCACTCTGCCCTTCTGAGGGGGTACTGTCCGACTGTCATACTACCTCACCCCCCCTGCCTCCCCTCCCCTTCTCCTCTGGCTTACCAGGTATAAAACCCGTCAGACAACTGCATGGCTGAATGGGGGGGAGCCTTGCAGATGTTAAGCCGAGCAAGCAGATGTAAAGTTCCGTACCTCAGCGCTGCATTTCACGAGGGTGAGACCCAGCAGTGCTGAGGTGCAGCATGCAGGGAGGCACACTTAGGGGTGAACCCTAAAGAAAGTGAGGACAGGATAGTGGGAGCAAGAGAAGGGTCAGTCTCAGAGGAAGGTTGTGGGAAAGGTGGGTCAGGCTCCTGGCAGATTCCTTTTTCCTTCTCTAAGTAGTATATGCACAGAGATGTTTGCTCAAGGAGTCATTAAACTACACTGTTCATGTATGTGCACGAACACATCAGCTACATTTTAAAACATCAAATATTTGGATAACTAAAAGAAGTCAAAGAAAAAAGACAAAACCACGATCAAACATTTCATAATTCCCACACGTGCCAGTACTCTGTTAACCCAGAATTTTGCAGGCTGCTCTGCAAAGACTGGCCTCATCATACTCCCTGCCTC